AAGAAAAACTTAAACTTCAGAAGAGCCCATGAGTGACCTCAAATCTAAGAGAAGCTCTGTAGGAAAAGCAGTCAGTGTTCAAGTTATAGATGCAGAAGAAGATCAATAAGCAAAAACAAAGACTACAAATTACCATTGCTTTGTTGTCAAATATATGCACCCGGTAACGTTCTTGTTTACTTCCTAGCGTTTTGCTCAATACACGATTATGGGATATCGTAGACTCACAACTATAATTCAGGTTGATCTGCTCACAGCCTTGAGTTACGTTTTCATGATGATGAGACGACGACGATAATGGTCATTACATCATTATCAGTTTTATAGGACATAACAGAAATCTCGAGGTTTTAGTTTATTTAACTTTGACGAAAAACCAAAACCCTCTCCTCCGAGTTTAACTCCAGACATCACTTACCACAGCGACTGAATGCGGAGTGGGTCCAGTGAATTCCCTGCATCGCGGCTTGCTTCTCTGACTTACTTGCATTATTATCTCTATTTTATCTCGGAGGTTTGTGCCTCTATTTCACTCTTTGAACGCAGCTATAACATTTACATCTCGATGGAATCACAATAAAACTTGTGTACGGAAGTAATGAGAGGGTCCCATAGCAACCGACACACAAGTACAGGAAATGACAAGTGGTTGCTATAGAAACGCAATGCTCTCGGCCTTAGTGGTGCCGACTGTATGTGATACAGATATCGATACAACAGTATATATCAGAATAGTTAATAGTAATAACATCATTTAAAACTTGACGCGTTCTAAAAAGCGAAATTCAACACTTTTGTTATATTTCTGTTGGTTAGTTATAATTCCAAATTGGTAATTAAATCATCTTCAACTCATTGAGTTAAGAATAAAAAATACATTTCACGATGGAAGCTAATACTAATTGGGGCTTTTTCGCGCTGGCTTCTCGTGTCTAACTACATATTTTTCCTTATCTGTAATTTAATAATAATTACACATTTCAGTAGTTTCCTGGTGGACTCCCATTTTCAAGTCAAAGATATAACGAGGATCTTAACACTGAGATTCTCACGCATTTATAGTTAAATGACGGATACTTGGAAACGGAATCAACCCGTGATTGAAAATACCACTGTCGTGAATGCATAACAGTGTCTCAAGATCAGTGAACTGCAAATTCATGAGTTAGTCATGTGCTACCCCGCGGGGATTAGAAAGAATTTCTCTGCTGTTTCATCGTGTTACAGCGTTTTCTTTATTCGTGACCGGTATGATATCACAAACGATGCCGGTTTTCGGGCTTGGGCCTTCGCAGCTCCCCGCCCCCAGTTCATCACTCACCGCATGGGCGCGAACCCGGGTCTCAGGCGTCACTCAACAGCGGTCTTGCCGGCTAAACTAAAGAAAACTTTCATCAGCCCGGGCGACCAAGATCCCTCTTATGCGCAGGAGCGTATTCGTTACAATGTTGAGGGAAGATCTTTTACCTGTAAAAGTACTAGATTGACAGGTTAAAGAACTCCTAGAGATTAGACAGAGAACTCTAGCATAATTCATGATGTGGAAATATTGTGTGAGAATTGGTCATTAGACAGGAATTTGTAGGCCAAATATGAGAGCACCACTAACTAAGTGGTCCGCTAACCACTTATGGGTTTTGTTTAGAGGTCTCCAACCTAGTACTGACCAGACCCAGCCTTAGCTTTAACATTAGAAGACAAAAAAAGCACATCAGACAGCTCAGGAAACTTGCATAGTCAAGTCTTAACCCTTAATCAGTTAAAGCTAGATGTGTGAACTTCCCTCCTCCCCCCTGTAAAAAATATATTAAATAAGGACCATTTTGTACTACCTTTTTACAAGTTTCAGGGCAGTTTGTGGCTGAAAAAACCCCACAACTAGGCAGCTGTAAACAAGTCTGGCATTGCTTCAAGAGTCACCCATGACATTCAGTTATTAATGCATTGCCTTTGTTGTGTGGATATGCTTGACACTCAAGTGAAAGATACGTAATGGGTAAAACAAGATAGTGATTGTTCTTTTATTTGAACATTTGAGCACTCTTCAAATCTTGTTAAATGTAATTAGAACTCGGATGTAGATGAACTTATGTTCAGTAAGTCTTTAAAAAAAATGAAAGTGTCAGTGCAGAAAAGGATTATTCAATCCTTGTTCTAGGTGGCTGGTGTGTAGGAGTGTTTTCATTCCAAATTGGCTTTAAATGAGATAAGTCATATGGCTGTTAGCTTAACTGGACCAATTTAAGACTTTTCCCTAGCTCTTCAGACATTGGTGCTTTAAAGCTTTAAAAAATGCAGACACACATGCCCTCCAGGACCAGGAGTGGACACTCCTGTTGTAGAAAAATGCTCCTTAAAAAAGACACTGCAAGCTATAATATTGCTTGTAAAAGCTGAAGTGCATAGAATTATTTGAGTTTCCAGAATTTATGAAACCCACATTATAATTTCTGTCATTGAATATGATTAGGATTGTTGTCATTAATGTCATGATGACAGGATGATAATTATAATAATTCTAGCAGACAGATCACAGTCGGTAGGATATTGTTTTCTGTATTCTTTGTTAAAAATTGTGCAACATCTTTTAAGTACAAATCCATTATTGTTGTTATTATTATTATAATAAGCAGAACATTTTGATGTACATCATCAGCTATCTTTATTACTCATTAGTGCTTCATGTCATTTGATTTTCACATCCTCCTATAATTAGCATTTCAAAGGGAAACTTGGTTTCTCAACAAGGAAAGAAAACTGTTTAACATAAAGAGGATGAAAACATAATGGGATTTACTTTTCCCTGTGAAACTGTCACTGCAGATCAACAGCAGGGCTGTGTTAGAAAAAGTGGCAATGGTCATCACTATGAAAATGTACTTCTTTGATTTTCCAGACTATGAAAACATTGGCCAGTGTCTTGCTGTTCCTCTTTTGAAAGCTACTCATCATGTACTCTCTGATCAGAGAAACGCTGTCATGAAGGGTTAAAAACAGGCGCTGTCAAACCTCCTGAACTATACATTTAAAATCAATATAGATGATAACGGTGTCTTTTTCAAAGGCAGTCCAGAAGCATTACAACATTTGTTTTGGTTATGTCCTGTTGTTAAAACATTCTGGATGGCTTTGCCAAATTATATAAATGATTCTAATATTGACATTTCTTTTGGAGAAATAGATGTTACGTTACTTTTTAAATCTATAGTAGTATAAAAATAGTACAAGAATATAATTTGTCATTGACTTAATCATTATACTTGCTCTGTATAGATATACTTGTTGTTATATGCAAAAAATGAAATGCTCTGGGAAGGGCCCACATTTGAGCAGTTGAAATTTGACATTTCAACTACTGCATACTGTATCACACTGTGTGGACCTTATCTTTATTTACCTCACATTAATCTTCTTTGTAAAATGCAACTGTATTATGTAGCCCTGGTGATGTCACAAGTACTCTTGTGTGTATTGTATACATTCTTTGTTGCAATTAAAAAGTGAAACAAAAAAGCTGAATGGAAAGAAAAAAACACCTCAAGTTTTCACCAGGGACTGGAAACCAACTCTTTTCATTGCAGGTGCCATTGTGTTTGAGCAGTTTCTGTAATATCGCAGAAAATGACAACCCCACTGACACTGATGCAACTCATTGAAAAGACCAACTTCAAGATTCTTAATGCCAAAAACTCTCTTTGCTCTGTCTGTACTTCAGATGGCTTTTTACCGTGTGATCTACTTGAGGCAGAGACCCCCATGTGACTGGGACACTGCTCCTCTTTGATGAAACAACACACTGGATACATCTCTTGAGATTGCCCAACCTCATCTTCAGCAAGTTTTCTTTATTATTTTGTGGCATTCCATACATTACTCTTCACTGTTGTTACGTATCTTCTTTTTCATCTGCCGCCTGACCATGCATCACAAGGCTGAAGTGTTTTAAAATAGTAAAAAAGTGGAATATTTGATGCAGCACTGTCACACACATCACAGACCTGTGCATGGAATGTAGTTCCTGATAAATAAGAGGATTATCATTTACTTTTCAAATCAGGAACTCCAACAGTTGTGGAGAAAATACTTTGGTTTCCAGTAGTGCCAGGAAACTGTTGCCAGCCACAGACTACAGTATGTCAATATCTTTATGGCTTAGTGTAGCTAGGCAAGGATGGTCCTGGTCAGTATTTGGTTGGGAAACTCTAAACAAAACATCTTATATGAGACATTAAACTGAGGTCCTCACTACTTGGTCATTAAAGATCCCAGGACACTTTTTGTGAGAGTACGCATTTACTAACCATGGTGTCCTGGCTCAATCCTAACCTTTGAATCTTTTGGGATATAAGGTACTGTCAGTGTCGATCAGCTATTCATATTTTTATTCATCCTCAAAACTTTCACCAGGGACCAGTCTCCTGGTGTTGAGACCTCTGTATTTGCAGTGAGACCTGTCGTTTTTCTTCCTTGGTAAGGAAATTAAGGCTCAGTCTGGCTTTGTGCAGAATGCAGAGATGCTTATCATGCAGAAAACAGCCTTTGACCCACTTGTTGACTTCCTGAGAGTACAGTATGACAAGTTGTTTTTATATTAATTTAATTGAGAAGAATTGGCATCCCTTCCAGGGTGTACCCAGCGCCTGTTGCTTGCTGGAAATTTCTCCCTCTCCCCCTCCCCCCGTGACCCTGGATTGGATAAAGCCGTTAGAAAGTTGATGGATGGATGAACTGAGAAGAATTTTTAGTGCTTGGGCAGCAATCGCATTATACAAAGATATTTGAGATTAGCCAGGGCAGACCCTGACTGGAGGGAAAGCTTTCAGTATGCTGCTTTGGCTGAAAATGTTTGAAATTTGATTTCTGGACTCCCTGGAGTTTCTGTCTGTGAACGGTATTATGTTGATGTTTTAAGAAGTTCCCCATATTTTAAAGCCATAAAGAGAAAGAAAAACTGGGAAAGTTTCTCTTTCTCTGAATGGCTTTGATATGGTATACAACACGATGAATGTTTGCTTTATATTATTTTCAATCAGAATTAATGACATTCTGTTGTACTAATACAGTCTCCATGTGCTTTCAAATGTTGAGTCCAACATGTGCCATAAATCTTTGACAGATCTAATTATGAACCAAAGCTATGCCCAGCTTTGTGAAAATAATCCTTTTTGCACGGCATGATTAGTTTTATACACAAAAAGGTCTACACATTCGATCACATACTTTCTGTTCTAAATTTACTAAGCACATTCAATTACTAAAAGGATAATTCTTCACTATTTCAGTATGTGTTGGAAACACTTATAAATGAGTAAAGAATGAGATAGCAATCAGTTGAATTAAGAAACCCCAGATCATCAAGGGACGAAGGGTACTCACATTTGGATCCTAAAGGATAATAATAATAAATCCACTGATTCATTTATAACAACATTGTAAAAAGTCTTTAAAGTTTATGATGAAAAAATACTTATAATTTAAATAAAACAACCCAGATAATTGCTCTCCTGGCCTGGAAACTACACACCCTATGATCTCTGCGTTTTTAAGATGTCTGCCCATATATTGTCTAAATTTGATTAGTCATCTTTGAATACTGTTTATCGCCGTTTCAGACTCGTTTCCTTTTCATTTAGGTTTCCATAGGATACCAATCGAGACACTTTTCCAAATTTTGATTTGATTACAATAAGAATGGTACTGTCACATAGTACTAAAGATGTTAAACGATTCTTTCTGGTTATTTCTTTTCATGAAAGATATCGTGTTGATCACAACGGAAAACAGAGTGCTTAAACGTGTTGATGAAAGCTGCCTTTGCGACTCTAGACAAGACCCTAGTTTTACAGTATCTGCTGTCAATGAGCACTCAACAGTCCAGCTCCCGATATTCTGAATTTTATTTATTTTCCAGGTAATGTATGGGAACGTCCATTATGTGGGAAGCTCTCCTATCTTCACCTTTCTCTTGTGACACAAATGGTGAGATTAGGAAACAAATGTAATTTTTTTTACAGTGATTAAGGTAAGGAAACCTATTGTGCAAGGCATGTGAAATGACTTCAACGCCGATGACTGACGTGAGCTCGATTCGCTTGGTCCACAATACCTCTGAGAAATTACTGTAAGAGAAATTGCTGGGCTCTAAGACCCAGACAGAAAACCCTAATTATTTCCCAGAGGTCTAATCATGTGACTGTGTGAGTCAGAGCGATACCCGTCATGTGGTTTATTAAGTTTAACAGGTTGCTCATAACAGTTGCAATCGCTGGAGAAATTGTGAAGCGACGATTTCAGAAGCATTTTACACTCTTACAGTAACTGCAGACCATGGATTGCGGATTAATAACTTCGAAAACAGTTCTACTGTTGCTGAGCTTGATTTTTTGGGTAAGTTATTTTTTTCTAGAATATGTTACGTTTGATAATATGCCTCGACCCTTTGTTTTAAATGATTGTGTGTGGCGAGGATAGTACGAAACAAAAAAAAAACGGCTACCTGCGAGTGGGTGGAACATTTTCAAAAAAGCTCATCAGAAAATGTAGTAAGAAGAAAACAATTCTCATTAGTGTCTATAACTGCTCACACTTTATTAACCGTGTATAAAATGTTAACTTGTATGAAATAAACCACAAAATGTGGATTAAGATTGATAATGTGATCATTTTATTAAACCCAGCAGTGTACCTCTTCGGTATTGGGCCGTGATGGACTTAATTCGCTGCCCTTCATCGTGCGTGAATTTTAAAACGCAATTGACATGGATATCCAGTTTACAATATGAGATTATACGTAGGTTAACTATTCATACATTCATACTAGTAAGTCAACTACAAGAGCCCAGTCGACCCACGGCTACATTGAACCGATTCGGCAGAAAGTTTTAAGTGGGAGTTTGTTCCGAATCGCTGTGCGTGATCCGTATTTATTGGGCGAGTATTTTTAGTTAATAGTGTATATGCGTATAAATCAAATAGTTGTTTTTGTCTTGATGAATCCGATTTTGTCAAGATTTGAAATCCAAGAGTCTCTAAACGCCGCCTTGTTTAAGTACCTTATTCTTCTTATAAACCGTCTTAAACCAGGAAAATCAATTTCTGGGGGGGACTTCAATTCGACACTCCTTTTGCATTAGTTGAGATGAAAAATAGTTCAACAGAGACTCAAGTTTGGGCTTTTTCAGAGCTCTTGCCGTGTTCTTTAGCCGAATAAGCTGAGTCATTTGACCTTTGCTGAGAGTTTATCATTTTAAAGCATCTCTTGTAACCCCGTTTTGTCTTTAATCTTGCGTTTTCTCTGTAGGAAAGAATACATATGTTTAAATGGACTGTATAGAATCTGCTTGTCCATACTTCCTAATGTTGTAACATCTCTTACAGGGCAGCAAGCTGGCACAAGAGCATCCCAGGCATTTACAGTATCTTATGTAAAGATGTTTCTGGGTTGGCATTGGAATCATGACGTATTTATCACAACACCGCGGGTGAATGAGCATTGCGTATAGATCCTGTGCCGCATTAATGACCTATGGGTACTTGTAAAATATAACATTTGAAACTGCGTCTTCCTGTGTTCCTATGCGTTGGTGCTCGTGGCCTGGACCTGGAGGTGGATTCTGTTCCTTTAGCACAGTGGTCTCTAGTCCTGATCCTGGATTCTTCTAATCTGATCAATTCCATACATCACATGTATATCTTGTGTAACAGCCTGTATATAGGCTGTTTTTAAAGATCAGCAATAATTTGTGGTCCATCTTGTGACCTCATTTTACTTATCCTCCTAATTTGTTCAATCAGCTGCTTGTCAGATCTTAATCAGGTGCTAATTGAAAGGTGTCTCTAAACTCTGCTGAAACCCATCCGTCCAGGCCAGTAGCTGGCAGCTCCTGCTGTAGCTCACACAGTGGGTGTGCAGATCTCTGAAAGAAAGGTGCTAATCATTCAGCATGGAAGGGCTAGCGCACGCTTTTGCCTTTCATTTCTAAGCAAGCTCTCTGCAGCCTCATCAAAGCCTTAAATGAAGAGCTGTAACTGACAATAGGGGATAGCAAACCCTTTCATTCATTCATTGACACATCTTAAATCAGAAGACACAAATACTGAGACGAAGGCCTTGTTTTTGTTGAAAACATGAATTCATTATTCATACAGGTGATCTACTCCTAATGTCTGTTTTCTTAAATAGACACGTATTGGATTATTCTTAAGAGAATGTTTGCAGTTGATTACACAAGGGGTTCACTTCATTAGAGGCAAGGTTAACTAGAGATCACCCGATGAGAAATATTGCAGTTACTCAGCTAATGATTGAATTCGAATCAATGATGTAACCAAGCATATGGAACACGAGCCAGAAGGCACTGCGCCTCCTGGGTTTGAGTTTGACACCTGATGTACAGTGAGGCAGGGGAAGTCAACCGTGGCAACTCCATTCCATGCCGTTGCAGATTTTGAAATCCTCCAGTTAATTACTTCATTAGCTGAGGTGCTGGAGATGACTTCAGTGGTCAAGGGTTAGCTGGGTCAAAAATTGCAATGGAACAACATAAGAAAGTGGACGAAGCCATTGGCCAGCAGCCATATCACCCTGCAGCTCACAACTGGCAGCCTACTGAAGCTCAGCAGGTGTGAGCCTGGTCAGTACCTGGATGAGAGACCTCCTGGGAAAAACTAAGGTTGCTGCTGGAAGAGGTGTTAGTGGAGGCAGCAGGGGGTGCTCACCCTGCGGCCCATATGGGTCCTAATGCTCTAGTATAGTGAGGGGGACCCTATACTGTAAACAGGCGCCGTCCTTCGGATGAGACTTAAAATTGAGGTCCTCTGTGGTCATTAAAAATCCCTGGGCGTTTCTTGAAAAAATTTCCCATTGGGCCTTCATGGCCTCCTAATAATCCCCATCTATGAATTGGCTTCATTACTCTGCTCTCCTCCCCACTAATACCTGATGTGTGGTGAGCGTTCTGGTGCACTATGGCTGCACATTGGTGGTGGTGGAGGAGAGTCCCCATTACCTGTAAAGCGCTTTGAGTGGAGTGTCCAGAAAAGCATTATATAAGTGTAAGCAATTATTATTATTTTGGAAGAGACGCACTTGCTCTCCTCCCTGTGGCAGTTAAGGAGACACTGGAGACGCTTGCTTGTTATTACCACTCATTCTGCCGCCCCTTCGAACTCCACGTGCGTTTCTGTCCGGAGCTGGGCAGAAAAGAGTGCACAGAACTCCAGCAGGAGGAGCTTGGGTTGTGTTTTACCTGTGTGAAGGAGTGACTGACAGAAATAGTATCGTTCTTATTTGCCAAGCTGAAAATTGGACTCGGACAGCCGGGTGGATGGTAACTTGTTTTACCGTTTGAGTAACAAGCCCATGTTCAGAGGGCAGTTCTCTTGGAGTGGGGGGCTGATTGAAATGACAGCAAAGGTGGTCCTATCATTGTAATAGAATCACGCTGTCAGTCTTAACAGGCAGAACATCAGATTTGTAGTGTGAGTGATTTCGGTATTCATTGAGAGGTCCACTGTTTGGTAGCAAGTAATTGCTGTTTGTGGTTGCTCCAAATCTAATTAGGATGAGTGAGATGCAGTATAACACTGCTAGCCTTGAAGGTCTTCAGTTTCTTAATGTTTTAAGAAAACCTTCGTGCTCTTCAGCAGTTCTTTTTTTTTAGATTGTAACATGGATTTGACTGTGATATTGTGGCATATTTTTAGGACTTTTTATGAAAGGATGGTTTGTCTGAAATGAAAATCTGCAAAGGAACCTCAATTCGTCTGAGCTCCAGGAATTGTACTGAAGTGTGGTGTGATAAAACAGTTTCTATGAGGAAGGGGGCTTGTGTTTTGGTGGTAAAAAGGTTTTTATTTGCTGTGAAGTGGGTTAGTGTCTCTTTCAGTTCTGCATGCTCTTCAAAGAGCTTCATCAGACGTTCTCTTAAGGCGCCTCCAGCAGTTCCGCTGCAACACGCCATTGACATCCTGCTAAATTGAACTTGATTAGGATAGGAAGTCTTATTGTTTTTTGTCTTAATTGGGGTGACCTGTAGACACGGAGCCGCTGCCATCTTGCCCAGTTCTCCGGGCTGGGCGGTTTGTCATTCCCTTTCTGAGTCCAGGGTCTCCCAGGAACATGGCTCTCTGGAAGCTCAGACATCAGTCTGTGTTTCCAGTCTCCTCTCTGGAGCCCAGACAGCTACTCGATCCGTTGGAAACTCTGAAAAATTGTCCAAAGGGAAGTGGCGGTCATGGGATCACAGCAGTGAGCCAGACGTTTCGCCTGCTTACGCACAGAATGAAGAAACTGGATGAGTTGAAGGTGACTTTTAGTTTCAAGGTCAGCGTCCCAGTCTGTAACTAGGCAGTGGATTTAAGCTCTTTGTTTTGTCACCCTAAAATATCTCATCCATTGAGCTTTTTTGTACTGCATTCTTTAATGGGATGATGTATCACTCAAAAAACAGCCTGGCAGTGTACTAGGAGCTAGTGGGCAGGTTGGCGTTACACAAATCTGCGTTTGTTTAGAAGGAGCCTGTTGGTCTTCTCCACTAACAGTAAGGACCATGCTCCTTCTCGGCAGTAGAGTTAAGACAGTAGCACTATTGCGGTTTGTCTCTGGTGCTAGATGAGCTGGCTCAACAAAATCACTCGGTGGGGAATTACTTTTGGTTGCGTCTTTCAATCCCACTGTGAGGAGGGGGAACTTCGGGCACCATACTCATTGCTGGAGCTGGCTTTGTCACGTGTGTGCGAGTGTGTCGACAGCAGTTTCCCATGTGGGAAAACAGGAGAGGGGTTCAGCAGTTGTAGTGGAGGGCAAAGCTAGTGTTAGTTGTTCCCCTATTGACATGCACCAGATAAGAGGATATGGGTTCCTTACCAGATCAAGCGTGATGCATGTTAAAGGATAACAGAGTACAAACACAGTATTTTACGTTCATAAATTCTGTTTGTCTTTTGAGATCAGTGGATCTGGATAAATAGTAGGTGAATTTTTCCAGTTTAATATGGTTTCTAATTTATTAACCATAATAAAAAAAACCTTACTTTATCCTTCTGATATTTGATGTGTTGGGTGATTAAAACAGAAAGACTGCTCACACAGCTCCACGACTAAATGTCATCTGCTTGTTCATCCATCTCCAGACCTGTCCTTTGTCTGTTCATTCACCAGTGGTGCTGAGTGGACACACCAGAAGGTGTCCTGTGACTGGACTTGACCACGTTTCCCAGAACGAGCACACGAAGGTGTGAGCTCACGCAAACAGGTCACGTTAGAAACAGAAGACCAGGCCTTTAAAGGGCTTATGGAATAAATGCCTTCTTGAAGCACCAAGTAAAAGGATGCCTTTACTAACTGTTATTCATTGGTCCAAACATGGCCTCTCTTGTGTTGTCAACGATGAGCTCACTCTGATTTGAAAAAAGGAATAAAATGACATGCTTCTGTGCTTGATGTTCAGGTCTGTTCTGAAGCACTTCTGCATTTGGACCAGCTGTGAGGCTGTGTCAATACCTCAGATTTGCCTAATTGTTCAGTCTTACATGTAGAGTCACTGAAGTGTGTTTCCGGTCATCCCATTAACCACTGAAGGCCAAGTTTGACTTTTAAAAGGAGTGTGATTGTGACGTTGCACCCGGAAGCCCTGTCTGCAAGGCAGAGGCCAAAACTGGTCAGCTGGTATTTTTTTATATGTCTAGGCTGATGGAAGTTAAGTGTCTTCTCTTTCTCTGTTTCAGGCTGCAGGAGCTGCTCTGGCATATGTGGGCTCCTATGTCTTCACCAGCTACAAAAACTATGACAACTTCCTGGAGGACAAGTACACACTCATTCCTGCGGTGGTGATCCTGGGCGTCGCCGTGGTGATGTTCATCATCGGAATCATCGGGTGCTGTGCGACGCTGCGCGAGTCGCGCATTGGGCTGGGGTTTGTAAGTATGACACTGCAGGTCTGGCAAGACCCTCGGGCTTCTCAAGGGCAAAGGGTCTGTCTCTCTACCGGGTCTTGCTGCCTCCGTGAAACTCCGCTCAGAGGAGAAAGGTGCATCTGTACAAACTGTAAAAGAATCTTCCGTTGGAAGACATTGTAGTTTTGACCAATGTATCCCTCCCTAAAAAATACATTAATACTTGAATTAAAGTATCAATGTGTGTCCATGTCAAAAACTTGGTTTAGTGTTTATTGTACACTAAAGCTCAGCTATAAACTATAAAAGAGAAAGAATGTAAACAGATAAAACATGGCAAACAAGTGGTTAGAAGAAAAGGGTATTGCTTAAACAGCATTTTACCGTAATTGGACAGGAACTTGAGTTCGTTTTAAGGTAGCTGCTGCTGGTTGCTTTCACAAAAACAGTAGCCTCATTGAAGGAGTCCCACACACAGACTTTCAGTTCCTTTTTTTCTGCAAAAGAAAAAACACCAAAAATGTACGCAAAGCAGAAATCTTTTCCCAAAACAGTAGGAGCTTCACTTCTTCATTAGTTGCCCATGCAGGTCGATGGGGGAGGAGTTTCAGAAAGTCATCAAGACAAAACTAAAACCAGGAATACTGGCAAAAAATACCGCACTAGGGAAATGGGTAGTGTAAGGATATCATTGAAATTATTGCAAACATTTTAGGGGGTCTTCTGACCTGTTCTTTTCACTTCCTGTTTTTGATACTGGTGGAAGGCTGGGGGAGTGGAGGAACTTATTACTTTATTAATCACCCAAGCTTAATATCATTAATACACATTTAATACCATGCAAATTTATACTGATTATATTTAGACACATTAATACCCATCTTGGATAAGATCAAACTTTTTTGTAACCTTAGTAGAAGAGCCCCCCAAATAGCCATTCTCTGCAAGTTTAGTTCCACTCAACTGATGTACTCTTCTGTCGACTGTACTCTTCTGCTGTGGATGTCTCTTGGGTCATATTGTGTGTTTTCATGGCTTGTGATTGTCAAACTAAGCTGTTTTCACGCATAATTAAACACAGGTGTGGCCAAACCGCCCTCTGTAAGGCACATTGTTAATTCTAAAACATTTCAATATACCGTAGGTCCCATATCAAGGGAAGTGAGTACTGTCTGTAAAAATGCTCAGTAACGTAATAACTTTGTTGGTACAACAAAGCCTGAAACGTTTTTTCAACACAGTACTCCCTGTCCTGCATAGGACTGCTGTTTAAGGAAAGCAGTGTTAAACAAGCTAAAGAAAACACAAGTCATGTCAAGCAGGCCTTGAAGAGAGAGTTAAGGCTAAAAGCTGAGCTCTGTTTCACTTACTGTTTTCTGTTTTCGTATCTCCTCATCAGTTCCTCATCATCATCCTGCTGATCTTTGCAGCCGAAGTGGCAGCCTTTGTGCTGGGAGTTATCTACCGGGGAAGGGTGAGTGTTGCCCAGCTATCCCCTGCTCTCATTGTTGTGGAAATTCTGCCAGTTTTCTTCATCATTAGACTAATGAGACCATGTATATTCTGCACAGCAAAAACTCTCAGAAAATGCTGATGTTCTTCTCATCTCAAGGTGGTGTGCTCATTTGTTCAAACTTACCTGTTATTCTATCCATTACAGCACAGATATAAACACCTGTGGTGCTTCAACATTTAATGAGCAAGTATTTTTCAAGCATTCAGTAACCAACCACTACTCCCTTTTTATGAAATTCTTTCCTACTGTACTTAAATTGTGATTTCTCTTCTATTTTGTGATTAATTCAAACATACAAAATAAACAGCTAATTATTTGAATTATTTTTCCTCTTAGCAGGAAAGAAAGCAACGAGGATGTGTCGCTGTCTTTTTAAAACAAGCCTGAAAGGGCGAGTGTTTCTAAAGATAATTTCCACACAGCAAAAAAATAAGTCAAAGTACCAAGAGTGCCTATTGGTTATAAGAATTCTTGAGGTTTCTTGTTTATTTGAGAAGAAATTATTGGCATTCCAGTCCTACAAACTCCATTGTTTGCAGATTGCGTGTCTGTCTTTGTCTGAGTGTGTGTGCCTATTTTTTCTAGGTAAATAGAGACATTGAAAAGTCAATGGCCGAAGTTTTCCAGAAGTACGATGGGAAGAATTCGGAAAGCAGAGCAGTGGATTATTTGCAACAACAGGTAAACTGGAGAAGGTTCGAAAGCTCTCATTCTGGGGGGAGGAGTGTGGAATTTCTGGCAGTGTCGCATGCTAGTGTTTAGGATACATTATAGTGAGGCTTCTCTGGTGAGAGAGTTAGCTGAGTAAATTGAAGCACAGATCCAGTCTGACACTGAAATTCAATGACTTTAATGGCTGGGATACACGCAATCGGAGTCAGGACAGGGCCGAATGGAACAGTTGTCTTCAGAGTCGCATGTTGGCCATGTGGGTGAGTTTGAGTGGAAAAGGATAGAGACAAGGCAAGTGAAGTATTTGAAATCCAGTGACCTTGCTGGGTCATGTGAGACTCTTGAGGCCATAGAAAGATGTTGTCTTTCAGTGTCTGTGCAAATATCTCACTGTATCACCAGGCTTAAGACAGACCAGCTGGTCTTAAAAGCTGGAAACAAATAAGTGCTAAGTGAAAGTATTCTAAATATCAGTGCCATGTTGTGGTGTGGAGTAGGGGTGGAGTAGTGATTGGGGGGGGGTGTTTGTGGGGGGTGTGGAGTTGGTGTGCAGTAGTGATTGGGGGGGTGTTTGTGGGGGTCGTGGAGTTGGTGTGCAGTAGTGATTGGGGGGGTGTTTGTGGGGGTCGTGGAGTTGGTGTGCAGTAGTGATTGGGGGGGTGTTTGTGGGGGGCGTGGTGTAGGGGCGAAGTAGTGATTGGGGTGGTGTTTGGGGGGGGTGTGGTCTAGGGGCGCGGTAGTGATTGGGGGTGTGGGTGTGGGTGTGGGGGGTGTGGAGCAGGGGCACAGTAGTGATTTGGGTATTTGTGTGTTTTTCTGCTCTGCAGCTCCAGTGTTGTGGAGTGAAGAACTACAGCGACTGGAACAATACCGAGTGGTTCCACACCTCTGGCAATGGCAGTGTTCCCCAGTCCTGCTGCAAGTCTGCCTTCGCCAACTGCACCGGCCAGCCTGGCTTCATCAACACAGAGGTAAGGGCCGACTCCCGGAGAGCAGGCTCAGCACGCAGGTACCTCCTCCTCCTGTCCTGGTGGGGCAATCTCTGTGCAGTCCTGATTCAAACTGAACAGTTACCAAGGTCCACGTCTTATCCTAAATGGTACAAAGCTTCAAGGTAACTGCAGTGGTTGAGAGAAGCCACAGTTACTGATCCATAGTTTTTATGTATTGATTTGTTTTGATGTTCATGTTTTGAGGACATCAAATGTTTTTGTGCAGTTTTGGTTTCTTTCGTTTTGGCGACCCACCATGGGTGCTAGGGTTTGAGGCGGAGGAATGAGAGGGTGATGTGCAAATACTGATTGTCTCATTGTCTGCTGTTAAAGCTGGGATATGTCCCCACTGCCGCTGCATCAGTGGGCATCAACAACAGGCTGCACTAGAGACTGGAAACTGTAGAGTCACCATCAGTAATCATGATGTGGGTGGTAGGGAGCCTTGGGAACATGAGACCTCTTTTCCTGTGTTCAGAAGGTTGTGCTCAAAGATGGACCTAACTCTCAGCTGCTTCTAATGCAAACTGAAAGAGATTTTCGGATGCTGTACAATGTGTTCACGTGGCTGGAGAGTACTACAGCTAAAGTTCCTGTGCTTCCCTGACCATCTGCACTCTCCACGTGATACCATAGTGGGGCCTTTGTGATTTGTGTTTCTAGCATCACGGAGGGTTTTGGCAAACGGGAACCCTTTCTGAACAGGATTAAAACCAGATGCCCGGTGCGTTCAGATTCCTGTTCAATAGAGCATACAAAAGTTACAAACGAGGAGGCCATTGGACACATCTAGCTTGTTGCCTAAGAGGTCTGAGGATCTCCTCCAGCTCTTTCTTGAAAGAAGCCAGGCTCTCAGCACCAAAAGCATTGCCATTCATTTTTTCCAGACCCCTGAAGCCACTGGGTAAAGAGGTTGCACCTGCTTTCTATATTAAATGCACAACCTTGGCAATTTCTGCTTGTTTTTTTTCTATGAAACTCTCTGAATTGCTTTTAAGGAGCATCACACATGGCCGTTTCTAACAACTGTTCTCTCCTTCAGAGACTGTCCATTGAAGACGAGTCTCTGCTGGTCATGTGTGTGATTCATTTTCCAAATGGGCATGAGACCATTAGTCATATATAAATCATTTTCAGCAACCTCAAAACCTACTATAAGTGATGCTGATATATTTATTTCAAGACGGTCACTCTTTGTCTCATTCTAAAATGACTTTGACTTGTGTATCATTGGGTTTTTTTTGTAAGTTGTTTCTCAGCTGTCTACATTGTGGCCATCTCTCACCAGATCACCAGATCAACTAACCATTATCTCTTATGTTGAGCTTGCCGTGGCCTGGCAATTAAACTAAAGTACAAAACTTCAGAAACTGCTGCAAACGGGAAGAGTGGTGATCTTTTGTTCTAAACGTGTTGTCTTCCATCTCACAGGGCTGTGAAACCAAACTGGAGCATGTACTTCAGGAGGTCCTGAGCTATGCCATGCTGGTGATTCTGGGGTTTGCCATCATCAAGGTAACTTTTCATTGTGCTTTTTAATAAATATTACAAGGAACATGGTTCTATTAGATGAAAAGATCTTTAACAGCCTGACAGACTATGCATACTCAAACCCGAGTACCGAGAGGTACCGGAGCACCGTTCCACACTGGGATCTTGGGCATACAAGCACCAAGATTGAGCCATCAGATACTCCTAGTTGCCTGACTGCTTATAGATTTCTGTATAGTACATCGTAAGTAGGGAGCATATGGCACATTTGACATGAAACAAGGGTGAGCAGATTGAGCGTTTTCAGTATATTTTATTTGTGCACATAGCGAATGTCTGCTGCAAAGACCCTTGCCTTATTTTTTCTTCTGTTTGGATTTCAGTTCTTCGGGATGCTGAGCGTGTGCGTGATCACGTGCAGAAACAGGAACCAGAATGAGTACCAGCCCTTGTCTGGCACATATGCGTGAAGATCCCACACTCTTCACTCGGGGTCTGGAGAGATAGTTGTTTTGTTCAGGATTGTCCACACACACACACTTGGGTGTTTGTTCTAATGTCTGTATTGGAGCAAACCGTCACGTTTTCAGGGGGACATTTCTGGTTTTGTATTTCTTAATTTCAAGGTCCAAGGCTCCAAGGGGATTTTTTTTCACTTAAGTTTCATATGTCTATTAGATTGAAGAGTTTTGCTCAGAGTGTGTTGATTTGACAGGTAGGACAGGATTCGGTATTATAAGCTGACTAATGAAATACTGAAGGCAAGGAATTGCTGTTCTGTAAATATGCCTCAAGTCTGAAGTGTGCCTTGCTTCTTGAATTTCTCTTATGGTTTTAAATAATTCTGTTAACTAATAATTGTGGGAGAAAATGTATATAATGCACCTGGTACAAATAATATTTGAACGGAGTCTAGGATGGTATTATTTAGAACCTCATTTTTAAGTGGTAGGCAACACTGAAAGGCACTATTACTATTGTTTGTTTTCTTTGGTCACTGAACCTTTATGCTGGAAATAACCTTTTTTTAAAAAACAAATCAGATGCCATAAATATCTGTTGTGTGTGTTTTTTAATTCAAAATGTAATAAAATAAATTCTGAATTAACTGCTTTGCACACCTAAATGCACAATAAATGCAGTTCTGCAGATCTGAATATGCTCAGAAATGTAGATTGTTTATTGAAAATAGTGCTTTATGTTATGTAAAGTTAGAACTTTTTTTAAATGTATGGCAGTTGTCATTTCTGAAGTTTAAAATTTCAGAGTTATATCAAGATGATAAAAGTGTATCGATTCAGTGATTTAGGAGATAGAATCCAGATTTTTTTTCCATCCCTGTTCAAATGTACCTAGTAATTTAAAAGTTATCAACAGTAAAGTACTTGATTTTAATTAAGCTTTTTTTCCCAAACATTTACTTACAATTACATACAGTTACACACTTAATGGCAATGTCAAAACTTATTTTTTGCTTTACAGTTCAGTATTTGTGTTGATCATTACATTAATATGAATGATGAGTATATTATGTAACTTTTAGAGTAATTCAAGAATACATGTGATCATATTAAAATAAAAACATAATGTTTGTTCATTCCACTGATTTAAAGTAACTTTAAGCATTGAGATACATTCCCTTTAAGTCTGCAGAAGTCTGCAACCCCCTTAGTTCACCCAACCCTGAGTGTAAATATTTGAGATGCTTTCCTGTTGCCACTTTGAGTTCTGACTCCATTTGTTTCTTCAGCATGTTAAACACACACTCACTTTTTTAAAGTATCTTAAGCAATTTTTAAAAATTTAACAAGACTAACAGTAACAATGAAACATTAAAAACAAATGAAACTACTCTACATAAAAACACCTAATAAAATGAACTCAGTTGGATTTTAAGCCAGATTGACTTTTCAATCAAGAGTTTTCCACTTGTTTGTCCCGATGATCTCCTTGGTTGCACTGGATGTATGTTTTGGGTCACTGTCACGCTGCATGCTAAAGCGCTGCCCAATCAGTGTGGCAGCATTTTCTTCTGCATTGGGAGACCAAATGTTTCTGTAAAATTCAGGAATTCTTTACATCTCCAAGGCTTCCCACACTTTGGTAAAGCTTTGTCTCCTTCTCATCTGCTCAGCAAACTTGCATTCAAAACTTTCTTGGCGCATACTGGTGCTTCCCCAGCAAATTCTCATCAGGCTCGTCAGCTCTTGCATCCAGTAGATTACCGTGGTGATTTGTGTATGTGGTAAGTATGCTTGCAGAATGTAACAGAATATTGTAACGCTCAGCGGGTTCGCCGACGGAAAGAAACGGGCCGGAGTCTCTGGCACAGGTTGGCAGGACATTTATTAAGGACGCTGAGGGGGGGTTACACACATACAGTAGGGGCAGGGGACACACAGCACTGCACCACACCTACGCTGACACAAGAGGGAAGAGGGCATCCCCAGCCCTTGTCCCACTATAAACAAGCGGGTAGTCCCGCCCCTCAGCCGCCGCTCGCAGCCTGCCTTGCGTGCAAATGGCTACAGCGCCCTACGTGGGCTCTACGATATAGAAGACAACTGGAACATTTTCACGTGAATTATTGATCCCCAATACTTAATAGGTGGAGTATCCCTTTTAAGTTATTGTAACGAATACGCCCATGCACATTATATAACTTAAGCTCAGCCGGCAAGACCCCAGTTGAGCGACACTGGAGACCCGGATTCGCGCCCATTGCAGTTGAGGGACGAACAGGGGTGGGAGCGGCGAGGGCACAAGCCCGAAAACCCGAATCCGTTACATTATTAAGATAACCATGTTATACTTCATGTATGTCAATAAATGTATTTCTGGAAATAATAGCAAATTATTGACCAATCTAGATAGTTTTTATAATGCTGGTAAAGTGCATCGTAATCATGATAATTAACTAAATGATGATGACAATATTTATGCCAGGGACTTTACAGGTGGTATTTTTTATAATTCACCTGGCATACTTTCAGTTTTTGATTTATAGTAATGAATTCACATTTTTATATGCATGTTTGGTGCGAGATATCCTGTACAGATCAGTGCTGGACATTTGTTGTTAGTAACAACTTATATTAAAAAAAAAACATTTGTACATACACATTTTCCAAATAAAGACTAGTTTAGATGCATTTATTTTTTTCAGAGTCTTAAAAAATAACCTTTACACTGGAAACAGAACTGACGATGAGAGACTTTATTCATGAAGCTACATTTGCGGTCGAAACGGGTTTTTGTTCTAAACTACACTTCCCGATAAGCTTCTCTCCTTCTCGCGAGATGACGATTGGGTGGCGGGATGAGAGAGAAGTTTGAAATGTGGACGAGAAGCGGAGCGGAGGGGAGTGCCGGCGCCGTCACTGTTCGGGTCCAGACGGTCTGTTTTTGTAAATATTATATAAGTAAGATGTCTTCAGATCGAAGTCTACGGCTTGCTTATGTTGGGTTTGAATTATTAAAATGGAAGCAAACATGAAATTATCAAAAACGCGTGAACTATATACACAAGAGCGCTTGTATATTAAATGTTAGCACTATATATGTGTACAAAATCATGATTACAATTAAAATTAAGTACGGAGTATTTTGAAGAATAAGGATTGCTGTGTGTCTGCGATTTATGTCTAGCTGGTTCTACCTGTGCTGTGGTTGTTTTGTCTTTGTGAAATATCCTCCACTAATCTTGCTTACAGACCCCAAAACGCTTATCAACCCCGTTAGTGGTCCTTTCCTCAACGAGGTTTCGTTTTCGAAGGCTACAGTTTGCTTTTAGCAATGATTTAGCTCTGGTCCTCTAAAACAAACCAGGAAATAATCGGTTGCTTCGATTCTCTGTAGTGATCTTTGAGTTTAAACGTCGGTTTAATGGCGACGTTTAAAATCATGATGGTGTTATACAGGGCTCAGCTCGTTAGCTGCAATGTAACTATATGGCTAATTGTGAATTGATCACAACCGTGCACGGAATTTGACGCAGCCCCGAAGTTTAAAACAAAGGACTATCGGCAAATAATCGGCAAACAGATCGAATCGACCTTCGTCTCGAATTTGTATGTTTAAGGATTTGTAGCAAGGTATATTCATTATAGATTTCTAAAGTCCTTTGTCCTGTTAGGTTCTGTACAGAGACAAATAGCCAGATTTTTACTTGGCCTTTTGAAATGTTACACAATTTCAAGCTACAGGAGTTAAATCTCTCAAATCTTCAGAACAGTAGATTACAAAATAATTTGAAAAAAAAAAACTACTGAACCCTTTTGTCCCTGCCCAATTGTTTAATTCAGATTACTTCATTGACCAGAGGGTATAAGTGGAAAAATAAAGGAGAACTGTGATTATATACGGAAAACATTTTTCTTCCTTACGTGAAGTGTACTTCTTTACATAAAGAGTGGGTTATTGAGAGTCTGTGTGGGATCCTTTAAGAATTATCTGACTGAGGTGCTCAGATAAAAGACGTGTAAACAATACTTATAGCCTTGCTGGTGATGTTCTAGTGAATATTTTTATTGAGCAAGATTTGAATTTAATTATTAGATGGAATTACCTGTGTTATTTACTGTATGTGTCTTTGTACTGTTTTTTTTTGTCTTTGACAGAAACAACAACAGGCAGCTTTAACAATGGATTCTTGTGACCTGGGAGAATTGACTCAGCATATAAACAACAAAATATCATGCATCAGGAAGATGATTGAGCTCCGGACCGTTGGTACGGTGCGGGCGGGTTTTCAAAATGGTGATTCAAAACTGATTTAAGACCAGCCACTAGGTGACTTGCTCTGTCACTGCATCACAAGCTTCTTAAACAAAGCTGTGTCCTATTTTGTGTTAGAAGTGGGGAAAAAAAACCTTTAGCTTCAAAACCTTTCTCAGAAATTCTCTGTTTCTAATATACTAGAATGATACACTGGCCCTCCAGGGCTTGGACTGGACAAACCTGGTTTCGTGGCTCAGTAATGCTACTTGTCCACAGTAGGTACTAACTGAGGATCACTGGTCCTCGTTAACATGGAAAAACAGCCGAGCAAATGCGGTCTGACAGTGTAGGGGGCAGAATGTCAATGTCTTTTAAACACAGCGAAATCTTTTTCTGTTGAGGTCTTTTATTCATTTGAATGCAGCTACCTTTTTTGTTCTCTCTTTTCCTTCCTCAGTGAATGATCCCCATAAAAGAAGTATTCTCCAGAAAGTGGCCCAGGATGTTCTCACAATAAATATGCTCTTAGACCAGTTTGAAAAACACCTCGCCCAGCAGAAGGAGATGCTGAAGACCCTTAAGGTTTGATACTGACTGATAGCCGGATGTGTTGTTTCTGTCCCGCCTGGGCTGCGTGTTTTGTCAATTTTCAGTGCAATTGCATTCCATTTCCTGTTCCCATAGAGCCTCACAGTCTGCCCGCAGCCCTGCAGTGAGTGCAGAAATGGAAAGTGAGGAGAGGTGCTGGACAGCAGCAGGACAGGCCACTGCCTCCTGTCTTCCTATGTCAAAGCCGCGCTCGTGTGCCGGCTCTCCTCCTCCGGCGCTGTGCAGTGGGGCGCTGTAGATCCGTTTACTGCCTGCTTTCAAACATACATGAAGTGATGATAAACTAAGCAACTTGCAAACGTGTATTGGGAAAAGGCCCTGGGATTGACCTTGTGTCGTCTCCTGAATATCTGGCGCTCCTCTACGCGTGTTGAGGGGTGCTGTCTCTTACCACCCGTTAGCTTGTTTTGGGTCTTTTTTCGAACTGCAGACAAAATGGAGCCCTGTGGTGTCAGTGATCTGGCGGGTGCACAAGCAGAAGCTCAGACTTCTGTAGCTGGCGGACAAGGCAGTGTTGGACATTGGTCACCGGGGTCATTTCCATATGGCTGTTTTTCTAGCTGTATGCCTGAGACTGTGAGGTACCATGTTCCTCTGCACCTGCCAGGCCCCCTTTTAATAGAAATTCCTCCATCTCCTTGAGGGAGGTCTCCCGTGTGAGGCGCAGGTGGGGTTCTACTGTGCAGGCGGGTTTGTGTCGGATTTTGTTTAAAGGAACCCGTAGAGATGTGAATAATTCTGACCCTCATGTTTCCTGGGATTTAATTATATCAAATACAACTTTGCTCTGTGCAGCACTGTTGCAATTACAGTATAACATTTTTGACAATTTTGAAGCAAGACCGGTTATCCGATCTGTAATGCATTCCATTATGAATTGTAATACATTGTTTTCTGTTCCTATTTCAGGGGTGGTATGAATAAATCTGTGGATGGTTTCTGCCTTAGAGTTTATTGCCATACCCTGTTTGTTCTGTGATGTCCAAAACAAAAATGAATCACAAATAAATAACCAGCAGAGGGCTCTGTCTTATTAAAAATAAATGGAGACGAATGCACAGCAGATAAGGCACTCTGTCTTATTCATTCATTAAAATTCCCAACAAAAACAAACCATTATTGAAAAAGATGAGTCAGTTGAGAACGAGTTGTCATTGACGATAATGACCTGGGGACCTTTTTTCACAGCAGGGTATTGTGGTGGGGCTATCTGAGCAAAGGTCTTTGCTCAAGGGTATGACTGTACTGACCCAACTGGAACTTGAACCCCAAGATCAGAGCTGCTCACTGCTGCCTCATATTAATTAAATCGTTGTAGTAAATTTCTAGAGTGCCCTACATTAAACAAGCTTCCCTTTTCCTCTAGCAAGCTCATTTAAATTCCGACCACACTTCTTTGACATTCTTATTTGTCAGAGTTTTGGCTGGATCAGTGTGCTGGACCTGAAGTGAAATATGGAAGAGATTTTTTTTTTCCCTTGCCAGTAAATGGATCTTTGGAGGCCGAATCCAGAGTTTCACAGGGGTTACGTAATGCACCCTAACCTCAGGGCATAACCACACGCTCATGGGCTGACTCTTCCAAATTCTTACCGCAGGGTTCAGATGAAACTGAAGGGAAGAGAATGCTGAGGATGCAAAAGAGATGGATCTGACCAGAAACACTTATTATATTATACTATATACTGTACTATATTATATTATAAGCCCTAAATTTGCCGGTGACACACTAAGTTTTCAGCTAGGACTGTTTTTTATTCTCTTTAAATGATTTTTTTGCTCATAAAAGTCTGTAAATGCTCACGGCCTGTATCCAGTGCGATTCCCAGTATCGTACATCTCTCACTGCTAATCTGATAACATCACCTGCACGTGAGCAGCATTTTATTAAAAACATTGTGGACAGACCTTGCAGACGCATGAAAACATGCCCTGATGGCAGAAAGTGATTGAAGCATCGTATGGGTTTTAAATTGGCGATTGAAGAGCTCTGCTGCCGGGAAAACTAGAAGACTCCCACAGGCCACAGCCAGAAATCAGAGTCCCTCATGAATGGAATGCTTTCTTTGATTCTTTGAACATAATTTCTCTAATTGCTGATTTAACGTCTCTCGTCCTGCAGGAGGTAGAGGAATCCTTTAAGGAGGACGTGAAGGAGGCCGAACACCTCTCACAGAACATCCCTCCACACATGCCGAGGAAAACCTCAGTCACTGCAAGGTCAGCCCTCCCCACCTTTTCAGAGAACGGTGCCCCCTTTGACTGTTTACAACCGGTAGCTCAGTTCAGAAAGTAAATCGGCATGTTCAGGGACATGGGACACAGGGACCGTGAGGTGATTTCAGTCAAATTCCCAGCTCCTCTGCCGTAGTCAGCTGGCTTTGAGTAAATGGACTCTTTGAGCAATCAGCGCTGTGCCGGGCCCTGCGGTATAATTACTCCTCAGTCCCGTTGGGCCGCAAGCCTGTTCCCTGGCCTCTCACACATCTGCTGCCAGCGCCCTGTGCGACAGACCCGCGGCCCCAGCGCTGAGGCAGTGGAACAAGGCCAGCTCTCCTTTCCCCGTTCCTGCAGCCCTGCCGCAGTGTTGTCGTCGGCATTCCCGCTGCCGGCGTGCTCCCGGAGAAGCGAGGTGCCATATGGAACCGTGGGAATAAAGAGGAGATCCCAGCTGAGCCTCCTACTGCTCGGCTCCCTCGTGCCCGTAGCTCACAAGTTGATCTGCATGCGACGGGCTCATTCAGAGGGAACCGCAGGCACGCGGGTTTCTCGTCGGTCCCGCGCGTGTAAAAGGAGAGCTCGATAACCCCCGTGTTCTTGCAGGGAGTTGATCGATGCTGTGCGCGGAAACAGCTTGTGTTTTTCAGTCTCTGAAAGCAGCTGCAGAAGGTATTTTAACCCTTGCAGTCCTTGTAATGCAGACTGGGATGGGCTGCAAAAGCTACCACTGCTTATCAGCAGCCATTTCTCTTGTGGGGCTTTGTCACTTTCGGACTGAATTGGTCCAGGTGTTGGCCACTGTAACGCCTCATGTTTACTGTGGGATTCAGGTAGACTTTTTTGTGACCACCTGTAGTAACTCTGGGTATTTATTTAGCTGTCTCAGGCCCACAGGATATGTAGGACAGGTGAATGTTTGTGAGGCTGTGAACAGAGATATCCATTTTAATTGGCTTTTCCTTAATATGACATTTATGGTAGCACAGGAAGTGATCTTGGCTCTGTCCAAGGTAGAGAAGTAGTCAGTAACGTCTGTGCTTCAGAGTTTAGTGAGAGCGCTACTCTCTGCTCAGATCTCCAGGGACCTTCATAATACACTCGGCTGAAATCTACACCAAACTGTGCTGTGACATTTCGCGGCCCTACGATACCACCTTTTCTCAAAGCATTCTTGCGTTGCATGCGCAGTAATGACCTCCTTTGCCTCAGGTGCCCCATGTCAAGAGCTCTCCCTCTTGTGTCCTAGTGTCACCGAGGTGAAATCGGAAAAGGATCCTGACACCAGACCAGTCCCTGAGCAAGAGCCCGTCAGAAAGCCCTCTAAATGTGTAATCAAGGAAATGGAGTTCGTCACCTTGGCAGAGTTTGAGAGTATTCCACAGTAAGTGTTTTTGTACTACGGCCCTCATCAGGTGTCCAGCAGGCCACACAGGGAGTGCCTTCTTCCCTCCCTGATTGGGCGCGTTTGTGAAGACGGGCAACTCACTGGAGGGGCTGAGCAGTGAAATGTGTACTGTTGTATTTAAACTTCTGCACTGCAAAAAGGTGCTCTTTTTGCAGCTACATAAAAAGTCTTTAATGAAGTAGTCTTCAGGCTTTTTATGATCAAGAACCAAAGCCAGTGATCCAATCCACTGTTAAATATAAATATAAGTAGCAGGATGTCTTAAGAACTGAAGCTGTTTTTTAGCCTGACAGAACAGGATATTCTTTTCAGCCCAGGGGTGTCTCTGCACATCACCATCTTTTTTGTAACATGGCGACCAGATGTGTGTGCAGAATTGTACAAGCTACAACCTGGTTCACAGGTTGTGCATTCATAACATAACATTGATTTAACTTAAATCATTTTCTTTTAGCTGTATATCCTGATATGGTTTGCCTTTTTGTTGAATCCCCCAATCTGCCCCAGTTATCCTGATTATCCGTGAGCCTCTTCCTCACTTTGTAGTGAGACAGTGTGGAGCAGTGGCTGACTGAGGGCTTTTGGAGCAAACCCCTGACTATTTCCTTTCTTTTCTGAGATGTGGCCAGGAAAATCGCTATTCTCCCTCGGGCTACAGTTAAGTCTTTTAGGTTCGGCTACGGGCTTCTTCCCACTGAAGACCACATTAGGAGTGCAGGTGGGAGGAGGAACGATCCTCTTTGATCAACAGAGGGCTGGTTTCGTGTTGCTGTTGCATAAATATTGATCAGTTCATCCAACACTGCTCCAGTTCCCTTGCAGAGTGACTGTGAAGTTAAACACATTTTTGGGCAATGTGTTGGTTAAAGAAACAGCTTGCTGGCCAACTGGCTTTTAAAAGCAAGACTGTTTTCTTTTTTCAGATTTCAGCTATAACACATCGATTAGATGAAGGTTTTATTTTGATTGACCCCAAACCTTGACAGGTTGCCAAGTGTTTGCTCTGGTTATACAACAGATACAGCAGTTTCTCCCAAAGGCCTGCCTCTACATACATCTGTAAAATTGTCGAGTTAAATTTAGTAGCGCTGTACGCAATCAATGATAAGCGTTTAGGTTTGTGTGGATTCTAGAGGTTTGAGGATGGAGAACGAAATAGCTCTTAGTATCTGTTGTAACAAAACAAGTTTGGAATGAAACAATCTTTTACTGTTATATTTTTATTATCTTTTTAGGACAAAGAGGCTTCTGATTAAACCTCTGTTTATACAGATTGTAGAAACAATTGGATGTGGATCAAAATGGCACTTTACATTAAGCAATATCTAGTCTTTTTGGGGGTCACATCTTGATTTTGCTGTTTTTCCAAATTTGGGAAATTTGATGCTAAGTGTGAGCAACATTGGTGGAACTTGTTTATGCTTAGCTTTGGATCAGAGCCTGAATAATTAATACAGCATTTCCAGAAACATCAGATACTTTCCCAAATGTTTTATAATACCTTGTCTTTGGGTGCTGTAGACATGTTTTTATGTCTTGAATGTGTATAAAACTGTTAAAAATAAAGCACAGCATACTTAAGAGAAATCACTAGACTACACATTTAAAATACAGTACTGCAGATACAGCACAGTACTGGACACATTCCTTCAGCTGGTTTAATGCAAAATACAGTGCATTGCATTTATTACAATACCTGTTTAAAGAGAAATCAGTTTTTTTTTATATACTGGACTTAAGCCTTTCATCACATTATAACCAAAAAATGTTGGAATCCAGGTTACTGGTCTTCAAGTACTCAGTGATCTTTCATATTCCTGCTTTAGTGCGATTCAGTTCAGTTATTCTTTTTCTACAAACATGTCTGTTGGTAAGCGATTTGGAAGGTGTTATATTGATACTTCTCTCCCTGGGCTCTGTAGGTAAGGCTGTGGCTGGGGAAATGACAAAACTTTCTACAAGGTTTTTTGTTTTTACACCTTAAAGGACTGTTTCCCTCTCTTTGCCTGAAATGGAAAGGTTTTCCCAGCCTGTCTTTGCACAAGCCTAATCAGTAATGTAATTTGCTGAATTTTATAATGATTTTCTTTTGGAGGAATGTGTGAATGGTAAAGTCTTTGTGAGGTTATTTAATATAATTATACAACCGTATAGTGAGGACCAGTTTGGTTTTTGATCATTATACAGTATGTCTAGATTAAATAAGTCTGCCTTAACATCAGACTGGCAGGTGTAAAGTGCAAAACCTGTTAAATCAAATTTAGTTTTTCAACATAGAAGTGAGATTAATTCCCATGATAGGAAATATCTCCGCAGGTGGCATTGTATATATGCTAAATGGTAAAGGTTCCAGCACAAACCCATGGGGAACAGCCTGAATAACTGGGACATCCTCAGATTTACAACAGCCAAGATTTACTAATTGGCTTCTGTTAGCCAAATAGGAGCCAAACCAGCAAACGGTTTATCAGCAGCCCCTATATGATTTTCCAAGCAATCCAGGATGAAGGCTGTGGATTAACAGTATTAGGAGCACAGTTAAGACCTGATAGAGAAGAATGCCTCAGAGTTCAACACCATATCATAACCTACCTCAGCAAGTGCAGTTTCTGTACCATCTCTGTGTACACCCTAAAGGAAGGTCTCGGATAGCTCGTTAGATAATACTAGGTCTTATTTTAGCTACAAGCTTAGTCACGTAACCAGCATCCATAGCCGTAAAATAAAGAGAAAGTGAAGCCCGTGAGAGCAGGAGTAGGCGTAGTTAAAATTAATAAAAAAGGTGAGACCAGTTGTTTATTATAAATAGTCTGCATTTAGATGTGAAATAACTGCATTAATGTGTTATGTTGTAGAACTATTAACTGGTTTGAGCCGTTTATCCATTGTGTAGACGTGCCTGTGGGACTGTTGTGACAGTTCCCCATAAGACTGGCACACAGTGAGGACCTGAGTGGTTTAAGAGCAGGCTGTAGAAGAGCAGTTAGCCTGTTTCTCACGTTTCCCACACATAATATGACCTCTTTGTAACCTTTCCTACATCATTTACAGTGAGTATCTAGACCTGTAGGTCGTAGCACCGTTTCTGTGTGGTTCTCCGCAGGTGTCGAGGAGCTATAGGAGCCTTAATAGGGATGTTCAGTCTGCAGGCTTGTAATTGAATGCATTTGCACTTTTCATGTACATTCATTACGAGGAATTTGATTTTATGCTTTAGTCCTCCACCTGGGCTAAAGTGTGTTGTGAGGATATCCATAGTTTCCTAACAAAATAGGTAGATTGCACATATCCAAATGCCTGTGTTCACAAATATATAGACATTTCAATCTGAAACAATTCAGTGAAAAATAGTCGTACAATGGAGCTAGAAAAATAATGTCCTGTGGCACAACCTGTGTTCTTGTCTTGCTCATTTGTTTGCTTGCAGCTTATTGATCCAGGAGCACATTGAGCTGGTTCTTGAAGCTTCGCCAGTGAGTCCCTGTCAGCAGTATGACTGGGCAGTTTGTTCCTGTAGTGTGTGAGGAGACGTCTCTCGTTTACATGCCTGAATAGGCCAGTCCTTGTGTCCCCTTGTTAAACCAGGCCCCTAGTTTGACGCACAGGCAGAAAACAGGCTTTTGCTCTGTGTGTTTTTCTGTTGTGAAGTTTCTGTCGACACCCTACGCTGACAGGCTGAGAGAACTGAACATGGGGTCTTAAAAACAGAGAAGAGAAGGAACAGCTCTTCCCACGGTGGATGAGATCTTCAGATCAATTAACTTCGAACTACCAAACACACTAGATAGACCAATCCTTTCGTAACCTTTCTTACATTCTTATGTGACTTTAAATACTTGAATCAGATAACCTCCTTTGTTTAAGACATTAAAATCAATCAGAGACTCCGTCCCTTTTTGGTTCAACATGTCTTTATATCCAGTACTGTTCTTTGAACTCTTCTGTGCACCAAAATTCTTGAGGAACAAAATGGAACATTAGTTTTAATGCTTTGAGTGTTTAAAAACTGCACCATTGCGGTTTTTGTGTTCTGTTTATAAACTGCCCTTTTATCCTATTGGATGCTTTTTTGACTTTGCATACAGCTTTGTTTGGTACTGCTAAGAGCTGTAAATTATCCTTTTAATTATGCAATTCAGTGCCAAACTCAATGCAGAATGGGTGTGCAAAGTTTAACTAAATCAATAAAAAGGAAAGGCTTTCTTAGTCAGTTGTTTCATTTTGAATGGGAAGTAAAGAATTACCTCACACTCCCATCTCTTAGCTTAAAGGAAAAAGCATTTTTCACTACACTACTCCATTTGTTTTGTTTGCGTTCATTTGATGAAACTTCACCTTCTGCGACTTCTGCAGTGTCCTCTTTCTGTCACAGTCCCAGGATTTGTCTGCAGGCTTACCTCTATAATCAGTGCTTTATTTCCGCAATCAGCTACCAGGCCTTCCCAGGGCCATTACATAAACAGGGCTGATGATATGGATTAAATACCAGGACAGAGTGTTCCTAATGAAAAATGGTTACTAATCATGTTAAAGGAAATCTGGTGACACACTTGAACTAGTGGGATTATTTCTTTATTTAAAGTGTCAGACATAAGCAGTAGACTGTGCTCAGAGGCCTTTTGCTTCCATGTTGCTAGGAAGAAGGTTTTTTCTTGGAACAAGACCATTTCTATCCTGACAGTGAAACAAGTGGGAATCCGATTAAGAGGGGATGTGGCCCACTTAATTGAAAAGGCAATATTTTGTTAGTTTTCTTCCATATACACTTTTGTTGGGCCCTAATCCTGCATTACTCCACAATGGGCATCAGTGTGTGCACCCTGTGACATTCACAGGCCAAGTCAGTGATGTTCTGCCTCAGCTAGTGTTATCGCTAAGAAAAATGTCATAAATGCTTAAGCTTCCTTTATACCCCTTATACTTTACTGTTGTGGAGGACCAGACTTGAACTACCAAACAAAGCTTGGAGCCAATTTTCTTCCTTGTTCACCTGAGAGTCTCCTCTCTTCAGCTGTGTTTTAACACCTTTTTTAACTTTTCAGATACATGAAAGGACGCATGACATACGACCAGCTGAACGGTGTGATCGAGGAAATCAACAAAGCAGTGACAAGTAAATACAAGATTCTGCACCAGCCTCTAAAATCCATGAGCAACGCCTCAAGGAAACTGTACCAGAGGTTTAAGGACGAGGAGACCAAGGGCACTAAAGGTAATGTAGTTACAGAGGAGTCGAACTAAGAAGGCAAATGTGATTCTTTCAAATGCTGCTCTGATTTGAGGAGAGTGATGAGTTTTGTCGTAAGATGACCTCAATTAAAGGTTTGTGATTAGTCATAGATATTTAAAATATCATGAGGAATTGCCACCTCAGTGAAGGTGTTTAGATGTGCAAATAAACAGTATGTGGGATGCTCAGTAAAATATGCTGCAGTTTACTCATTAGAAATGGACAAATGCAACTAAAACATCCCAAGCTGCCTCTCTGTACAGTGTGAAATCTGCTTTGAGCTGGGAATAATGTGAATCTTACAGCACACTAGTAAGATTTCATTTTGGGCATTGTGCTGGATTTTGTTTTCCATACCACAAGAACAAGATGTCAAGGATATCACCACCACAAAGAGTTCATCCAGATTAATATCTGTGACCTGCACAGAGGATTTAAAGGCTTGATTCCCTTGGGTCTTGAAGGGGGAATAATAAGAGTGGACTTAACACAACTTAGTATTCTAAATCCTGCAAGAACTGGCAGTCAACGCAAAGGACAACTTGAGAATCAATCATGAGTCAAGGTCCCAGGGACACAACTGGTCAGTTAAGAGGAGGTGCATTTAAGACTAAATAAGAGATCAAATGAACTGTAGGTGTGATGGGAAAAATCTTTCCTTCAACAGTCAGCTAGATGAGAATTTTAGTTCAGTTAGCTGCGCACGGCTCGTGAGACTAATGGCTTGCTCTTGATCTGTCACCTGTTTTCTCGATTCCGGGAGAAGTGCCCCTGGGCAGAGGGGGTTGATCCTCCTTGTTTGTGACGTTGCAGGGCTGTTTTTCATCGTGGACACTGACATCAGGGAGTTCACCTCCATGAACGTGGGCAAGCGCTTCATGAGCATGCTGAACGTGCTGCGGCACTGCCAGCGGCTGCGCGAGCTCCGCGGAGGGGGCGTCACCCGCTACGTGCTGCTCTGAGCGCAGCCGGCCCCCCCAGCCAGCGCCCTGACCCAGACCGGCACGCGACGTCTCGCCCCAGAGGCTGAACGGGGAGGAGCCCTCATTAGGGGCAGCGAGAAAGCCAGCTGTGAGACGAAGACCTTCCTGCACAACTTGGCTCCTCTTTTCTGAATTTTCGTTTCTGCAGTACCAGCTCTTTGTCCCGGCATCAGTAATCCAGTAATAACAATGACATGTACGAGTCCAAACCCCGCAGTGAAATGGAGGGGAAGGGCTGATTCCTGCCTGCCTCTGCCCTGACGGCAGTCTGAGTTTTTCTTTTTGTGTTTTGTATGATTAGGACGTTTTTTTTCCCCCCAGTGGCTACTGATATCTGCATGACGTTGACATTAACGCTTCCCCTGAGTTCGTCACCTCTGCCATCACGAGCTAGTTCTCCAGCATCCCCACTGTGCCCATGGCCGTTAAACATCCCTGCTACCACCGTCATTACCAGAGATGTCAGATTTTTGCTGGACTTTTTAGGTAGTGTAGTACTCCTTGTTCTAACTTTTTTTTTCCCCATTTACAAGATACATCTCCAAGCCTGGCATCTTCTTGTTGGCTTGCTGAGTGAGTGGGAGTTGTGAGTGGCACTCAGTGCAGTGGAAGCCAGCTCTGATGGCCGAACAGAGTCCGGGCATCTATTTCAGCCCAGGCTGGCTGCTTATATCAGGTGGAGGAAAATCAGGCCCTTTGATGGAAATAGGGCTGAGGAGAGTGCAGTTACCTGTTCCTCATGAGCTGGTGTGTTAGCTTCTTGGTACTCCTCATGGATGGTAAGTGCAGAGACGTGGTTAAAAATGGCGCTTTAGTCGAGTGAAGAGAGTTGTTGGGACAGTAAATGCCAGCTGTCTCTGTAGGACCGGCCTCAGGGTGGGGACGGGCCTCAGATTGGGGACCATATATAAGTTTCTCCCACGGGCCTGAAATCGTGCTGCTTTGCTCTGACACAGACTGAACTTGGTTCAGTTTGTGCGGAGATACATGTAGGCTTTTCTTTGCTACACACCCTGTTTTACCTTTTGTTTCAGTTTCTTTCAAAGATTTGTTCTTTGAAGCGAGACTCTACAGTGTCAAAATCAGCAAAGTGAACAGATGAATCGTAAAATGTTCATAATGGTCAGTCGTGCTAATGTTTTATACTAATCAATAAAATGTGTTTTACCTTAGATACATTAAATATTTTAAATCATTCCCAAAAAATTGAATGGCTGTTTTTATTGTGAAAGTTAGAAAATCTTCATCTCAGATTTCAGTTTCTATTTTCTGCTTCACTGGATGGATGGTGCATTCATTTATGATATTTACACGGACTGTGCTTTCACTTTTTTAATACCTTTAAAAAAGCCATTCCAGTGTACCACTGCCAATGGAAAGATAAGAGTCTTTGAATATGCAATCTGAGCTTTTTATCATTTTCTTCTGCAAGAGAAGATGATCGTTTCCAATAAACATTTGTTAAAAAATCACTGCGAATGGTTATCGAAGACAGTGGTGTTGAATCAGCAGATGGACATTCTGGTAGGAACTCTCAGAGCTAAGTTGGCTCACCAGCACCGTGTTCCTGTCAAACCAGCTGGAAGAAAGATTTGTTCTTATGTTTAATAGCCTTGTCCGAAATAAAATACTTGATGTGAAAAAATTGAGACCAGCATGAAAGCGTGTTTGAAAGTCTGTTGGTTTTATCCATATCACAGTTAAACAGTAACAAAAGTTTAAACATCTTAATTGCTAAGTGTACATGGGTGGCTATGAAGCTGGGTTCTTAAATAAATGTTTAAACCCTTTTTACACCATAGGTTTCATTTAGGGAAGACCAATTTGGGAAATTTAAACCTATGTATAAACTTTTTCATAAAGACAAATTTTTAGAGATTTTATTGTCACATTCTTCTTTGGAGGTGATTCCCAAGATATTTTATATGTTAACATTTTCAGCGCATTTCTACATCTTAAAGAGTTTATCAAAGACAAGAAACATTTAAACATCAAGAACAACAAACCAGAAGCTTGTGATAATCTTTTAACTGCATCTTTGCTGTTGGGATCACTGATCACTCACTAAAGGAGATTGTTCCATCGGTACTGGAAATTCCTCCATTTGTTGTTCTAACCCCAGTTAAGGGTTCTCGTGTACAGTAGGTTTCAAATGGGGAGCAGTGATCAAGGTCCTGGAGTCTTAACCGGAAGGTTGGGGGATCAAATTCCTAGGGAGACACTGCTGTTGTCCCCTTCAGCTAGGCATCCCACTCACTTTTATTGAGAAACAAACCTTTTTTTGAAAATAAAATGTGCCCAAAATACTTAACTTCAATTGAGTCCTATTACTTCAATTAAGGAGAGTTTAAGGCAAAAGGTTAATGATATTGTTAATGATTAAAATTCATTAACACTACTCTGTAGAGCCAACAGTGAACCGATTTCTTATCATTCTATTTGGAATTAATTAAAATACTTGAGATATCTGCCTCCCCATTGAACATACAGTGCTGTATTCTGTGACTTCAAAGACAGTCATCAGATTTGTTAAAGAACTACCAACAGAGCACACAGCACTAACAAAGAGGTGCTTTTGTCTGAAAGTAGCAGGATATGTCGTACACATCTGAGTTTGTTCTGTAACTGAAATAATGTACTAGTGTTAATATTGTTTCAAACAGTGATCAGTTTAAGTTCTCCTCAAAAACCTGTTTCAGTAAGTGCAAAAGATTTTATATGGTTCTAACAATCAATTTGGTAGAACAGTCGATGTCCTTCTGTAGAGAAGCCTAATAATTATATTGATGACACTGCAGATGGGATATTAATCTGTTCAGAAAAGAATGCGTCTGATGTGAAGCTGAGAAAAACTGTTACTTTTGTTGTGATAATGACTTTTCAGATACTCCAGTATTGGAGCATGCTGGCACACTAAGCCATCACCTCTGAAGTCAGAAGTGACTTCAGAGGTGATGCAGAGTAGAGGAGTGCGATGCTTAGCCCACCTCCTATAACCTCTGCCTGCAGACACCCACATGCTTGCTGTGTGGAGTATGAAGTGGTAGTTTGAAGATCTGAACTCAACAGCAATCAGAAAAAGACTGCAGTGTTCTTCATAACAAAGCAAAACGCTTGTTAAGAAGCACATGGTGTTTCTCATCATTTTTTGCCTGCAGAACTACATTCACTTCCCCTATTCTGAAGGTTTTAAAATTTAAAAGGATTTTCAAATTAAATTTAGCAAGAAAGTGTTAAGTAGGTTTCGAGTGTGCTTTTTAGTTGTTTACTAGATGATGTAATCAGCAGAATTTGTAGCGGTCCCGTTTCCAGTATACTGTACTTGGTGAAGTAGTCAAATTCACTCGTGATCCCAAAATAAGAGGAACAGCATATGCTGGAGATTCTGCAAATAAAATTAAAATAGAAAAGACTAGGCAAAAATGTGTTAAATCACATTTAATGTAGACAAGTGCAGGATTGTGTGCAGGTAGCAGAACTATAAATTATAGATATAAGATGAGAAAATCTTAAGTATTTGTGTTGACACTTGATTTAAAGCTTCTAGACAATGTAGAGAAGTAATACAGCGAACATGTTACAGTGTATAGTACAAAGTATGGGGTTTCAGTCAAGGAAGGTTATGTCAGTGTTATGTTAAGGAAAGAGGGTGGCTGGTGCAATATCATACTCCAATGACATCCTCCTCATCCTCATCCAAGGGTGGATCTGAAGCAGGGGATATCTCTCTCATCACTGGTGCCAGCTTTCTCTGGCAGGGGTAGTCTGGAGTCAGATCCAGGCAGCGCGATATAAATTCTGTCCCTTCAAGAGGCGAAGGGCCAACACCCAACACCAGGGAGCTGTCGTGACAGGATAAGCAGTAGTGCTGCGAAGTACTGATGCAGGTGCTGTTGCCTTGTTTGTGACTTAATACCAGTAACACTAGAGACTGTTTCCACACAAAAATAAAGAGATCAGGTGAAAGCTGAGATCCTGTCATTCTCATTGAAATAAAAGGAAATGGGTTAAATTGGAAGTCTGGTGTGAATAATGGCGGATGTGCCTTATGAATTATTCCTTACAGAAAATGAAACGGGAAAATAGCTGGATATTCGAAGTTCCATTTTCAACAAAATATTAAGTGTGTTTTGCTTCAATTTATGCTTCTGAGAGTTGGCTCAAAGACGCACACTTTTGTCCTTAAACATAAGAATGCAGGAAATATATTGAATTCTTTGGTTTTATACCTATATTGGGAAGAAGTGGTCTCCTAAAAAAAATAGTTAAAAGTATTATTCAATCATGCAGCTTCGTCACCCTCTTTAAAGTCCACTTCTTTGTCTCTCTTGTCTTGTGAGCTGTTAAAAACAAATTTGAGTGCCAATATCTGAAGAACCAGGGAAAAAAAAACTAAAGGAAGCCTTTCTGCCCATCTAGCGTGTTTGGTAGTTAGTAGTTAATTGATCCAAGGATCTCATCCAGACGTGTCTTGAAAGAAGTCAACGAGATGGCTTCAATCAATTTGGCTTCAACCGCACGGCTGAGCAGCTTGTCCCACACTCCCACAGTCCCTTTTGTGAAGACGTCCCTCCTGATCTCAATTTTAAATGCACTTTCCTGTAATTTCCACTCATGTCCTCCAGTTCGTGTTTCCTTGCTCATTCGGTGGAACAGGAACCAAAACCTGCCGTCAGAAAGTGTTTAGAAAGACTGCTTACGGATTCCTGGGGTGGAAAGCTGGCATTCCTGGCAGCAAGTGACTTTCACATTTGTCCTGCAGTCGCCTCCCCCAGGGATTGTACTAATCCCTGCGCTGTGAGAGGTGACAAAGCCCCTGAGCTGACTAGCCCCAACGTTAATCTAGCATTTAGTGTCATTAAATACTTTTGGACGGTCTGCAGTTTTCTGTGCCATTGTGCAGACAGGCATAGATCTGATTTTAGCAGCGGTGGTGCGTGCGTGCTCCGTGGGATATGATGTAACACGAATCGCTCCCTAGATTTCGTTTGCTGAAGTCCTGAGCTCAAAATCCAACCAAAGCCACAGATGCAGGGCATGCAGGACAGAGATGCTTGGTGGTTAACTCTCGTGCTACTGGACTGAATTCTCTGTCAGGTCAGTGCTATTTAAAGTGTGGCAAAGAGAACAGAATTAAGGCAGCAGTTTTGAGTGATGGTTTGGATTCTGGGACACGGCTGTGGTACCCTTGAGCAAGGTGCTTCACTCGAATAGATCACCTTGAGCAATTCACTATCAATCTTTTTTGAACCAAAAATATCACCTGTTAAAAGAAAAGTGTTATGGTTTTGTTTCTACAATAACAGGAGTCCTACAGTATATGCTGTGAACCTCCCATACAGTACAGACTGCTGGACCAGCTTTCATCAAATGTTCAATTATCTTCTGAATCACCTTCAAATGCAAAATCATATCTGTACATATCTGTCCTCAAATCGCACGTGAGCCATCTTGGCTGATGAAAGAACCCTGAGAAACAGCTATTTTGACCATATGAGGCAGCTTAATGCATAAATGTGAGCGTATTCTGCCTATGGGCACTTCCTGTTTCTTAGCAACATGTAGATAGAAAGGCTTTGCATGAGGTGAGATATACTGTATGTAAGCAGCAGGCAATGAGGAGATTTCTCTTTCCTGTTGTAACAGAAACGGCTGCCAAGACTCTATGACAACACCTACACTCTCTATTAGCCTGTCGCTCTTGTAATTACAGCTCTCTTCACATCCAGGTGCTCCTGCATCAGCCTGTAGCACAGCTGGGGAGGAACTTTAGACCTGTCAGAGGAGGACCAGTCAGGATTTGTCTATTTGGGGGTTAACTAGTCACAGGTTGACCAGTTGGGGGTTAACTAGTCACAGGGTGATCTGTCAGGGGTGCCCCAGTCACAGACTAACCTGTTTTGGTCCTCGGCAGAAACCTAATCTTTTCCAGGAGCTTTTCTGACTAACACAAAGGCCCATCAAGACTAGGCAGGCTATTTTTAAATGGACAGGGAGAATACTGTTAGATTAGTATCAGGATATTCTCCCGGAGAGCAGTTCTGCGGAAGTAGGGGTTAGGAGAGCTGAGTTGCTGTTCAGGGACCGTTCTGGAAAACGGTTTGTGGTCGGTCCTAGTTGACATTGCTAATCTGTGAGTTTGAAAAATTTCCACAGGCACCCCTCACTCTGTGGAGAGGTTAGGTGAATGACCCAAGAACAGGCTGGACTTGCCTGGAGCAGAGTATTGTAAAGAATACACGCTGGACAGCAGTTAAAGTAAGTTTAAAATGGGAATCATCGCTTGGCACTTAACTAGTTAGAAAATATATAGCATTACATAACGTAGCATACATTACGTAACATTACATGTGTACAAACAACAAATATCTGAGATATTTATACATTATTTTTTTTCAGTGTTAGTACTTTAGAATTCCTTATTTAACGGAAAAATGTGCCTTTGACAGCTTAAAAAAAGAAAAAATCAAATCTAGTCCTTGAATCTCAGCATTGCCCTGCGATTAATAAAATTAGCATCACAAGCTGATTTCACAAATTGCGTCACCTTTGGTCTAAAACACAGGTCACACAGATCCCACTGGGAAGGTTTTCTCTGTGTGTGCTGCCTGGAGAACTGTCTGGAGTTTGTGGTTTGTGTTGTCAATTTTATCCTGATTTGTAAAAGAAGCTATATGAATGTAAACACAGTCCAGTCGGGAGAACCTGTTTCATCAACTATTTATGAGTGACTGAAGCTCATATTTTAATTACTTTTTAGGTTTTTGGCTTCACTTGTTATAGTGGCTGTATCCATAAATTCATCTGCTGGATGGGGAGCAGAGAGGGGTAAAGAGAGAGGGACACAGCCTACCCTCTTACTGAATGAAGCTCTCAAGTCAGTGGAACCTGAGAAAAGAAGATTGTAAGCACAATGAAACAGCAACTTGGTAAACTGAAAAATGTTTGCTATTCATGGAATGTGCTTGCCAAGTTAATAATTATCAATCACGTTTCTGGCTGATGAAACTTAAAAATGGTATGTTAGCAGTATGATAAGTTTAAATGAGTCTTTTCTCCGGAGTCAGGTGTATGAATGGTATTATGTGCATTCCTTTGTCTGAGTCTCTTGCATTCATAATAAAAACAACCCCATCACTGTACAGCAGCCCTCAAGTGTTTGTATACCAGATTGTGAGATGAAGCTCATATACAGTAGCTCATGGATCTTAGGGTCACAACAAATACAGTAAAAACAGAGAAATTGTAACACTAGCTTACTCGCTTGGTCCAGAACAGAATCCTTAACAAAACTCCTCTAATAAAAACAAAATTGATCTTCCAGCTTGAAAATAAGGCCAATGAGAACAGGAAGAGTGTAACTGCATATATACTGCAATGGAAAACACCAACCTCAGGAACAGTTCAAGAGAAAAACCCCACTCTTAAAAATATTTGGCAAAATATGGGGATGCAATTCAAGGAGAAAAACACCATAATTTATTGATTCATGTGAAGGTGCATTTAATTGTGTGCTTTCAATGGAAGGCAGAATGCTTTTTGTCACTCTATTTGGTATTTCATATGCACCTGCTCCAGGCATTTAGTAACACAACATTAGCCTTTACACAGAGCACTTCGGTTTCAAAACCTGCTGCAGAGTAAGTTGCAGAAGTATTCTCGTGATGCCCTGCACTGTGCACTTACAGTAAATGACATTAGAGCTGGAATTCAGTTGCATTTCCTTTGGAAAAGATCAATAAAACAAAACATATTGAGTAAACATGGAAACCCTGCTTGGATTAAACACTTTCATGAAAATATGTGCAGGTATTTTTATGGATCGAGCAAATCCCCTTGTGTTCGTAGAGGGCTCTCTTACATGTGAATCAATTGTGTCTATACAGTCTTTTTTAAAAACCAGCACGTACATGTATTCTGGTTGCTAAGGAATTGGTTGCAATGCTTACAGCTGCGTAATTCAGTTTTATTTTCTCATAAAACTTAACCGCGTGGTTTCTGGGAGGGTCCTGCCTTGTTGGAGTGAAGGGTGACTTTGAGGCCGAACAGAAGAGCAATTGGCCGTTATTTCTGTGATCAGAGCAACGCTACATGACTGGGGATACAACAGCACATCTTCTCCCCTTATCTTAACGCAGACTTGCAACAGGGGAATTTTTTGCAGCGTTATGTAATCCCATTCTGTGAACTGTCAAGGCAAATTAGTGTGCATTCAGCAACCAAGACTCCAGCTGACATTCATTAAAAGCAGAAATATTTAGGGACCGAAGAATTATGGGAATTCTAAAGGATGAAAAGGTTCTTGACTTCTCAGACTCTTTTTTAATAATTTCCCCAATCCTAAAGCATGACAAACACCGAACCCAAAGCATCGGGATTCCCTGATTGGAAAGTCACTCTTCCTGGTGAGGAAACCAGTCCTGGAAGTACGGAGCGCAAGGCAGGGCAGAGAGCTCAGGAGCGCTCTCACTCTGGACAGGACATCACTCCACCACAGGGCAAGAGAGAAAGGGGCAACTAGCTGATCAAACGCATCCTTGAGACAGAAAATTTTTAAAAACACACACTGGGTGGGGAACCTGCAAACTCCTCAAAACAGTTCTGAGGCCAGAATGAAAGCCTCCATGATTCTGACCACCAAAATCCAACGTGTTTCATGTAGGCATTTACTTTAAAACTTTCTTCTGTATCTCTTAGGTGAATTAGCTGCATCGGCAATATCCAGTTTAGAGGTAATGATCTGAGCCTCACAAGCTGTTTTAACTTATGGCTTTCATTTTTCCGCCGAAAACGTTGTGTGGACTCGGCTTGCACCCCGCCTTCTCTACCACCCTACAAGAGGAAATCTAAAATAAAGTGGAAGCCCTTGTGTGCTCTGTGAACGAGCACTACCCGGTTTCATTCACCGTGTATGTCAAGTGCTTATTTCCGTGTAGATGATCAAGTGTGCGAGAAAGCAATTTTCTGCCCCTGCTCAAAACATTCTGAGCTGACTAGAGGAAAGTGGATGTCTGTTGCTCGTTGCCACTCATCTCGTAGCCGAAACGAAGTGGACTCCTTCTGTCCTGTTCTGCGGTCGCTGGATTGTGCGCTCATAAATCACTTATTGAGACTGATCTCAAATGAGTCCGCTGTGTCATAGCACATCTCTTTACCCGCCTCGAGTGAAATACAGGTGTATATTTTATTTTTGTCGTTTTTAAAGTCCTTTAAGATAAATTAGGGTATTTACGGACGGATAAAGGACTGCAAATACATTTTCTATTACAATTGAGTAATTGCTTAACACGATTGTGTTATTTTCTGTTCCAGCCTGTCTACCGATAGATAGCCTCTCCGATCGTCCCTGGCGGCGGTTTCAGAACGACACCAGAGGGGGGCGCTCTGGGGGAAGAAGCGTGCAGGTGTTACCCCTGTGGCTTTTTAAGGCACGATACCACAGGTTAAAGGCAACATACCAGTGGGGAGAGACAGCATTTCTTTCACAAAATAAAATAAATATTGGCACCCGTCGTACTAGACTGAGAGCCTAACTAGATTCTTCTGGAGAGTCAACCGAATTTACTGTGAATTTCCAAAGAAGAAACAAAAGACTGAACTGCATTTTGCGTGGGGATTAAGATTTGGTTCTTAAAAGTACTTCTTTTTCATTCATTTCGTTCATTCATCGGTGAAGGGCCAGTGTCGTTCATGCACACCCCGTCGATAAATAGCACCTGCTTTCCAACTCCGCGTTAGGTGAATCTAGCGTTCCCGCTGCCCTGTGCACCGTGTGCAGTTGCTTGAGTCACTGACAAAAGGCTCTGCTATTTCAGGAGGCACCGTGCAAGCGTCCAGCATGGTGGACCCGAGACAGGAGCGGAGCAAGCGGCTCGGGAATGGGGCGCCAAGAGAAGAGCTCAGCGCTGCGGCCGCGGCAGGTTAGCAGGTGGCCGCAGGCTGATCGACGGGCTTCACGCTGACGTCACCGCCGTGGGGGCTGAGCTCTCGCAGAGGAGTTCCGAGCAGGGGGGGGGGAGTGCGAAGCGAGATCTGGAGCTGAGCAGGTTTTGCGCTATCGATGACATTGTCTGTTTTTAAAGATAACCCAGATTAATTCCTCGCAGGACAATGATGAGCATATCGCTGGTTTAGAACGGACCAGGCGCCCTGTGCTCCAGGTATGTATATGTATAATTTTGCAAGATTGTGTTACTTTCTGTGCACAGTCTGCGGTAATTGTAGTGTTAAAGGGCTTTCTTTCTCTTCTAAGTGCCGCTTCTGTGCGTGTTCTGTGATGGTGGGCTTCTTCAGACATGGACAGAAAAATAAAAAGGGGTTGAATTCCGAGCAACGCTGTAGGACCGGGACAGGAGCACAGGATACGCGCAACTTGTGCAGCAATTTCATAGTGTCTTTTAGAAAATATCGTCTTCCCGTTAGGGTAATGTGTCAAAGCCTTTTATCCTGTAACGGATAGCACAGTGTTGCATTTGCACAAAGGGTACAATTCGCATCGCACGTAGTAGCGTTCGTTTAAGTTGATAAATGTCGTTATTTCTCGTCAATGTTGTGTTTGCGTCTTTCCAGTCAGCGAAAATACGTTAAAGGAGATCCCTCTTCAATATTACATGGCATATGCATTGTTTATGTGGTTGAGTCATGTCTGTCTGTTAAATATATTCGATCACAGTTTCATTCAATCGAGTCAACATTGGCTTTAAGGCATTATATAACGGTAAAGATAATAACACTTGCCATTCGCCATACGGATATGCATAATTTATTAAGTCTCTGTCCTGTGTTTACAGAGACGGTTCTTTCTCTCACTTTTCAGAGTTCGTGCAGTCACAGCAATACAAACAAAGCCCGTTATGAACTATGTCACAGCAATGACGCTGAGCCCATCCTTCCTATAGAATTAGCGACTGTTTTGTATGGAGAAGAGAGGCGCCCGTGGACTGGAAAGCCGAACAGGACTGAGCGAGAATTGTCCTGAAGTAACCTGCTCGGCGTCCGGGAATATTCGAGTTGCTTTTACAGAAGCCGCACTTCGCTGTTTTAATTGCTTGTCCTGCTTCACCTATTCATATGAGCATAATGCAATATATATGCACCTAGATGCTGTAGCTACAGCACCGCGGTCTCTTGATTTTCTGTATTTAACGGCTCTGGTCTAGTTGCGACCCGACGGGATGTTCAGCTCTGTCTGTACAGGCTTTGCAACGTAAAAATCAAAGGTGCGTTATGATGCCAAATCACAGCGACAACTTTCTTTATAGACCTGTTCATGAATTCCTATTAGAAATCACTTTCTCGCAGTGGCTATCTGATTACCTGTTATGCTTTCTTGTACGTGCCGAGAAAGTATTTAGGTCCAGGAGTGTAAAAACAGATACTGTACGTGTTATATCGTTTTTTCCCCTTTCCATTCTCAATGAGCACCTCGCCTAACATGAATCAGTGGCCAGTGGAAGTGACTTCTGGGATTATTTCACACTGTAAAATGGGCGAAAGACTTCCACCTAGTTGCTCTCATGTCCTGCCTCTGGATAATTTAAGACTTTTAGGAATTTTCAGGGGATCTATGCGTTTGGATTGACAGATAACTGTTACACTAAAAACAAAAGTATTGCTAGGGTGAAAAACATTAGGCTGCAGTGAAACAAATAGCAGAGTACCACAAGGATCTGTGTGAGGTCCTTTGCTTTTCCTGATTGATGTCCATATTCTAGATTGTAGTAGCAAACCTGTTAAATTTGGTAGAAAGGTTAGTGAATATTTTGGTTGAGAATATTAACAGACCCAAATGGGCAAAGAATTTGGGTAATGCTTTTATTTCAGCAGTTGCCTAAAAAAATGGAATTTAACATAGACTAATTCAAATAACTATTCAATAAGGGCACTTATACATTTCATGGAGCCAGGAAACTGCTTACAGATATTGTTTTTTATCCGGACAATGTGGAAAAGTAGAAAAGTTTGTTATTTAAATGAAGGTAAGTAAAGTTACATTGTATAATAAGCACTAGTTAGACTTCTTTTGAAATAGTGTTCATTGTTGGCCACTGCATTCCAGAGTGAAAATTGCTGCTTTAGCAAGAGCTCGAACGAGATTATATTGGAATGATTCTTTGTCTGAAAGACTTGTTATCCCCTGACAGCTTAAAGGAGTTGCTTCTCGTTTTAGGGATGAGGCAGTTAAATGAGGGTTGGATTCAGGTACTATAACACAATAAACTAAACCCAGAGGAGTCTTGCTGCCTCAGTAGAAAAGGAGAGAAAGGTAAGTGCAGGTGCACTCAGGACTGAGGACTGCTGACAGTTCTTTACACATGATACTCTTGGGAGCACAGTGCCCAGATTTCTAGGATGTTTCAACCAATGGCAGGATGAGAGCTGTGGTTTAACGTGATGTTGGCCACCAAGTTAGCATGATGATCTAATGAAGGCCGTTGAAACAACTCTATGAATGTCCTTCGATACCTTGGCTCTGGGAAGTAATTCTTAACAAAATGGTTTAATGTTCCTCTAAATTTGGTTTCTGTCCAGTTTTTGCCCTTCCAGTAAGCCATGGATTTGTACCCCACATGAAACGGTGGTCCAGGTTGCTCAGTATGGGTGAGCTGAGAAATTACAGATCAGTGATTCTGCACCTTCTTCTCTGTCCCTGAGTTTCATGTGCTTTTCAGACCGCACTGGACGTTTTACCGAGTGGAAAAAAATTTGGTCTCATTTGGCTGGCCTACTTATCACCTTTTTTCGTCTTTTCACATTTCACAGAATGTTCTGCAGGCCTAATGTGAATCAAGATTTAAGTTTGTTTGTTTTTTACCAGCTTCTTTCCTTGACATCTATGCACGGAATTATTTGGCAAGTTCTCCACTAGTCCCTCAGGCTGCTGTTGTTCTGCAGGCCCAGGTGGTTTATGAGGGTCTGATTTCCAGGAAACAGCCTTAACACAAATTCACAGTGCAGTGGTCAGATATGATCAACATGCTGGAGAAACACTTGCAGACCTGATCCATTGTGTCGCTGCCTTGTGTTTGATGCAGAACTCTCGAAGGGCATATATGATCCACTTTTCAAGCACAAAAACACCAACCAACTGAGCGAATGCATCTTAATTCTGCAATGAGGGATAGTGGGTGGTGAGTTTCCGAGATGAATAAAGTGAAGGTGAAGAGTTGGAAGGGGGAGGCTCTTCTTTTATTTGGACAGTTACTGTGCACATCAAAAAACTGCATTCTGTTTGCCTGCAAGAGTCAACCTGAAAAAGACAATGTGGGGAAACAGTGTTCAGGTTCTGATGCATGTTGCTTGATAGAGGAACTTGGGCCTGAGTTGGGTTTGAGTTGTCGTTGGGTGAGATAGTTCTCAGCTGTGTGAGCAGCACACTTTCCAGAGCTCACAGATCGCTGCTCAGCGTGTTCACTGACAGGGCCATTCTGACACGGTTGCCAGACCATGTGATAATTTCTGTTTTACACCAGTTCGTGCTTTCAGTGTGATTTGACCCCTAGATGTTTTAAAAAAGTTTTGCCATGGATTTTAGTTTTCATTTTTAAACCAATTTTCAGTTGGCATTATCTGTGAAAGATGCAAACTGCTCATAATGGCAGGATGTATTTACAAGGCAAATTTAATAAAGGCAAAAATACAATGTGTTCATTTCGGCCTCTCATTTTGTCATTATTGATCTCTTCTGCAGACTGGACTTAATGGGTTTCTTCCACTATCCAACTATATTCCTACTGTATCTTTCTCAATACAAAATGTCACATTTTTATGTTTTTATTTTCAGAAACTCGGATGTACAGATGGAGAAATCAATCACAGTGACAGGGAGCACTGAGTAATATAATTTAACCTAGGTTATTATAACACTAGATGTGACAGATTTTTTTTTTAATAAAAAAAGGTTGTCCTGAAAGAACTGATTCACCATATTAAATTCCACTCGTGGTGGGGGAATGATAAAGGAAACCAAACAGAAAGCTCATCTATATTGTGGAATATGTTTAACTCAAATCTGTTCAAACTGATCCCTCAAATAATGCTGATGAAATATTAAATGTGTTGACCTAGGCTTCATCTTAGCAGCCAGAAAGCAAAAAGCACAATGGTTATTTTTGTCTTGTTTGTGAGCTTCTTCAGATGTCTCTGCATTGAATAGGATGCACCAAAATGGGATTAATCTGGTTACAATGGACAGACTTTACTGCCTTCTATTTCATAAGAAGGTGGGTTTGGGGGGTCATTATGATTAACGTATTGTAGAGCATAAGTGACATTGTGTTATGTAAGTTTGGGTGTTTGGGTTTTCTGCACTTTGGGTCAAAAGGCAATTCATATTCCATAAACCTAAAATTGACTGTAGATGACGAAGCTCTTGTGAGTGGGCCTAATTGCTCGTCAGTCAGAGAAAGTACTTTGTGATTCACTGCATGGACCACTTATTTTGTTAATTAAATGTACTATATAATTGTTCTATCTCATAATTCTACTTTGCACCCTACTTTCTTGGAATGTAATCAGTGCTGCCATGTTATATTCGTGATTTGCGTGGTCCTTGATAAAATTGGAGACTTTTTCAATTGCTCAGGTCCCGATAGTAGCCCATTGCACATACTGTATCAATGCCTTGCTTCTGCTGTTTTTGCATTCCAAGGTCAGCTAGACCTGCAGTGTGTTTGTTGTGCTCCTCACTAGAAGTAATGATCAGTCTCTGCAAGTATGAGGAATGCAGACAGTATGTCTAATTTTCATAAGTTCAAGTCTCAGCAAAGACCTACAAAATGCAGTAAATGATCAGCAGATTCCCCCTGTGGATGGAAAGCTGTGGCACTGGGACATAGGATCAGAAGAATGGTTACACAGAAGGGAACATCTAGCCTGTTTGATAGTAGTTAATTGATCCAAGGATCTCATGCAGGCTTTTCATAAAAGAAACTAGGTTATCGATTTCAACCACAAGGCTGGGCAGCTCATTCCAGTCTCCAGCCACCCTTTGGGTAAATACATGCCTCCTGTTCTCAGAAGCAAGATGAAACAAAAGTTCTGAGACTACAGCCTGCGTTTTGAAATGTGCAGCACCATTGTTCTTGCTGTTGTGTCTGCTGGAGCCAACTTCACACCTTCATGGTTGGATCACTTGCTGTGATTTGTTTAGACCACAGCAAATGAAGAGGGTCGCTGTTGTCACTTGCCACCGGTGCTGATAAAGTACGCCACTTTACCTGTGATGTAGAGGAAGTACAAAAAAATCATCAGCTCCAGCATTTGTTTGCTTGACATGGAAGTGTTCCGTGCATCGGTACACATCGCGTGCTTTTGTTTTTGTAGTTGCGTGTCAACAGCTCCTGGAATCAACTATGGCATTGAAGTTTAAAATGTGGAACACAAGTTGTCTTTAAATGAGATATCCATCTTTTTCACCTGCTCCAGAGCAGGGGCTTCCCAGCACCTGCCCTACTGCTTGGTTTTGTAGTGACTGCCTGGGTGGGCCTCAATGGCTGACAGAGGGGTTCCACATTCGTATTGGACGAGCAAGCCATTAATTGACCACCTCTGGATTAATAGCCCCCTCTATAAGGAGTGTGTTCATATGTGTGCAGGCACGCATGGGGGTAGTGTCTAGATTTCTGTCTGTGGGCTCAAGGAGACCATTGTGGGCCATTGAGTTATCCTTTAGTATAAAAGTGTTTAATATGGACTTCTTTAAAGTTAATTTGTTTCAAGTTCAGTCCACAGTGTGCTCTCCTGCTTTCTGGTGGTGCCAGATCTCAGTGCGCATTTTTGTTAAAAAACTACAACATATATTTGTACACAGTTCAACAGGATTCCTTGCTCATTGGGGCAAGAGTTTGCAACCTCCAGTTACAAGTGCAAAGCCCAAATCACTGCTCCATGTTTCTGTTTCTTTCTGATAACCAGGGCCTTTTACAGTAGGTTTTTGTAATTCCTTGTTGTGTGGTGAAATTAGATAGGCACATTTCTTTGGCTCAGCGGAGGTGACTGATCTGATGTGACCTGAGCTGAAGACTGGAGAAGGCTGCACCCTCACTGATCCTCAGGCCGCCCTGAACTCCATTGTCCCCTGAGCTGGAGCAGAACCGCACTGTGGAGCCATTGTTAGGAAGGGAAAAATCAGCTGATCTGTCTGAAAGAGTTTTTGTCAGTGGTATCTGAGGCGACAGTGCTGAGCAAGAACACTTGTCGAGTGTTGGATCGGACCTGCTCAGCAGGACTGAAAGAATGCTTGTATTTCAGTTTCCCAAAGTAACAGTAGGGATTATTGTTATTGCATTTGTGTTCAGTCTTGTCTTGCAGCGGTCAGTGTGTTATCTGTTGCAGTTCAACCTTAATGTTGGATAGAATGAGTCTAGGAAAGCTGAAAAACAGTGTTTTAGATGCAACTCTAATACTGATAAGTTACCCTTTATTCTTTTACATATCTTTACAGCTTTTCGTATGAACATTTTCAGTAACAAGCAGTACTTAAATTGATAAAAGGATTATAAGACATCTTAGCCTCTCATTATGATAACTAGTAATTGAGGCTGTAATTATAAATTTCAGACTTTGTACTGCATTTCAAAATACGCATGGTGCATTATTTCCTAATAAATGTATATGTAACTTCATGGATATAAACATTCCTATTCATGCTGGACATCCTTTACGTTTTGTAGTATTTGTGAGATTTTTGTGACTTCAACATCATAAATGTTTTTTTAACTGGGAGTTGTTCACTTTGAATATTCCCTGTAAGGCCTATTGTGTATATTTCAAATGCAACATACATAATTAATTCAAACAATATTCATAAAATATTGTTAAAGCAAACACTTCTTCTTATCTGGCTTTGGGGAGTCTAAATGGCAGAGGGAGTAAAATTGTCATGCCTAAAGCTGGTAACATTCGAGACAACGTGTTTGGGTCTCTTTTATTTTCTTTGCAGTTCACACAAAAGAAGAAAACTTGCATTTTGGATTAAAAGGCCTATATGAGACAATAATTGCAGGAGGTAATTGCAGCAAATTTCATATCAAGTGCTTGGAGATGTGAGACAGGCTATAAAAAAAGCCTGTGATCCGAGATCCACATAAAGAATGCAAATTGAAAAGAAAAATGACGTGGTGGAGCTGGTGGGGACTGAGTATCAGGCTGTGATGTAATGTGCTGTGTTGCACAGTGTTGCAGCTGCCAGAGTAGCAGACCTGGCCAGTAGACTCACTCAGGGGGTGCCTGTGAGAAACGAGCCTTGCTGGGTATGGGAAGTGTGTGTGTGTATGGGGTGGGGGATTAGCTGAGAGACGCTTGTGAGCTGTTCCTGGGTTCCTGCGTTAGGAATTCAGCTCCAGTCTTGTTCTCTGTCCTGTGCTTTTTCAGGAGGAGGATGGAGGTGGAGGCAGGCCAAGGACTGGCAGCGGCGCTAGCAGGACAGACTCCTGTGGAGAACTCGGCGAGCGGCGAGCGGCGGGGAGCTGTCCCGGGAGCAGAGGGGGACTTGTGCGCGTAGAGGTCAGGGGTGGAAGCAGTGACTGAGAGGTCCCACTTGTGCCCCAGCGTGGAGCAGAGCACTGGAGAGGCCATGAGGCATCATCTCTGAGCGAGGACCGAGGCTCTTCTCTGCCATGGGAAGGAGCACACGGACTGAGGCCAGAAGTTTCTTAAGGACACAAGCCTTTCCTCTCTGCACAGAAAGGAAGTAACGAGAAGCAGGGCCCCGTGTGTGATTAACTTTTTCTTTTCCTTAAATCTCACTCTTTCCTGTCTCATGAGCAGCTTTTTGCAGAGCGCTTTAAAAGCTGTTTATACATACGTTCAGCCAGCCAGGTGGATGAAAAGGATGACCTTCTGACCTCCTGAGCATGGCGGCCAAGCTGGACTTCCTGTCGAGCTTCCACGGCTTCGATCTGGGCGGCCGCTTCGTGGAGCTCAAGCCCCTGGGCTATGGGGCGAACGGGCTGGTGCTCTCCGCCGTGGACAGGGAGAGCTGCCGCAAGGTGGCGGTGAAGAAGATCGTCGTCACGGACGCCCTGAGCGTCAAGCACGCCCTGCGGGAAGTCAAGATCATCCGGCGACTGCAGCACGACAACGTGGTGCGGGTGTTCGAGGTGCTGGGGCCCCGCGGGCTGCCCCTGCCCCCGGACGTGTGCACGCTGACCACCCTGTACATCGTACAGGAGCACATGGAGACCGACCTGGCCCGCCTGCTGGAGCAGGGCCCCCTGCTGGAGGAGCACGCCAGGCTCTTCGTGTACCAGCTGCTGCGCGGCCTCAAGTACATCCACTCGGCCAACGTGCTCCACCGCGACCTCAAGCCGGCCAACATCTTCATCAACACCGAGGAGCTGTTGCTCAAGATCGGGGACTTCGGGCTGGCCAGGATCGTCGACCCCCACTACTCACACAAAGTAAGGCACCAGGAACAAGCCTCGGCGCTCCCGCTGTTTACTTTGTCTCGGTAAAACGTTTTGCAGACGTCCAAAACCGATATCCTGATAATGTCAAAACCTTGACAGTTTCTTGTGTATATTGTGGCAAGACAGTATGCAGTTTACAGCCTAAAACTAAAAGCTTTAGTAAGTACATTCACCAATGTTCCTTAAAAACAAGTCAATAAATATATATAATAATAATAATAATTATTATAATTGCTTACATTTATATAGCGCTTTTCTGGACACTCCACTCAAAGCGCTTTACAGGTAATGGGGTCTCCCCTCCACCACCACCAATGTGCAGCATCCACCTGGATGATGCAACGGCAGCCATAGTGCGCCAGAACGCTCCCCACACACCAGCTATCAGTGGGGAGGAGAGCAGAGAGTAATGAAGCCAATTCATAGATGGGGATTATTAGGAGGCCATGATTATTGGGAGGGGTTACACCCCTACTCTTTTCGAGAAACACCCTCGGATTTTTAATGACCACAGAGAGTCATTAAAGTCAGCAACCTATATACCTCTGTTTGTAGGGAGTGACGTGTTGCTCTTTCACACTTTTGCAATTAACTTTCAGGCCAGTTTTTAGGAGACCCTAGGTCTAATGTAGTTTTGCAGATGAGCCGTTGATCTCATGGTGGGATGTGGATTTGAGTCTCTGCTGCAGACACTGCTGTTGTGCCTTGAGATACTTTAACCCAGTTACTCTAGTCCACCCAGCTGGGTTTAATCTATGTGATAAAACATCCAGGAGGGGGATCTCAAGCTCTCTTGTCTGCTACAGAAATGATGATGAGCTCAGTGACTCTGGTCTGGACTTCGTCTTTGTAGAGAACCCTAGTGAAGGAGGCTGAAAAGTTTGCAAACCAGATAAGCATTACGGAGTTCCAAATTCCATTAAACTGCATAAGGACTTGTCAAATGGACTCACAAAATACAGAAAAGGATTCTGAAATAATTAGAAAATTGATTTGATTGAATTGAATGAATTGAATTAAATGTTTCCTACATTCTTGGGGTTGTAGACTGAAATGCTGAAATAGTTTTCATGAAGAGACACACGCTTTAATAACGCTTACAAAATCTGGAAGCTGTGAGATACATAAGTTCTTTTTAGATGCGGAAAATAGACCATGTTTTTTGTCTAAACAGCCTTAAAACTGTTATACCCACCATTTTTGTATAAGTGGTAAGTTTGTATACAAAACTACAGTGGCAGTCGTGACAGAAGGCTTCATTCTCACAAGTGGTAGCTCTAAAGTTCCTTATGTATTATGGTAAGATAAGGATAGTAACTTCAATGTTCAGGATTTATTCCATTCTGCTAAGAAGCCAGAGCTTATGAAGTGTTCTTAGATTTAGATCATACTGTGAAGTCTGCAGCGGCTTCTGCAGAGAAGAGGATTTTATTTGTGTCAAACTGTCAAATCCCTTCAATGCTTTGAAGCTACAAAATTCACTTTTTAATGACTTAAACAATCGTCTCGTTTAAATTAAAAGCATAGCCTGAGATGGCTTCGGCATTGTTAAGTTGATGGAAATATGAAAACCAGAAAAGACAAGCTCCTTTAAAAGAAAAGGTTCAATTCAGGCATGGAAGATTGTGTGCTTGTGATATATGATGTATAATGCATATCATGCCATGAATATGATCCTCTCAGAGCAATGCATAATATACTTTTCCGCTGACCTGTCGGAAAGAATAGCTGATGTACAGGTTGACTTAAGTTTCTTTAAAATTTAATTGTCAGCCAAACTGAACCTGTACACTCTTGCCAAAAAGCACAATGCAGGCAGCTTTATGTAGCTTCTAAATCCTAAAGACCACAGTTTCAATGGTGAAGAAAACAAGCTGCATGCAAATAGAGTAGTGTAGTAATTACTGTTTTCCCCTTGTGGTGTAGCTGGCAAAGCCAACTGGAGGTTTAAGCAGTGTTATTACTGTAAGTAGGCATTATTCTAGGAGGGCTGCATCTAAGAAGGTAACATTTACTTTCCACAGCTTATTCTTTACAGCACTTGCCGTGCAATGCAAAAATAAGATTTTTGTCAGTGCACTGTAGTTATTATAGCAACATATTCTGGGAAATATTTTTTACATTCCTGATTTTGTGTGATTTGCTAGAGGTTGCAAGTGACAGTGGTGTACAACAATGCATGATAGATCTATTAACAGTTGAGTTATACATTTCCAGAGCCATTAGGCTAGCTATATAGGCTATCTATTTTTATGAAGCACAATTGATCATTTTCAGTGGGCAGTGTCTATAAGGGTAACGAGTCTCTTAACACATAATCACGCTATATAGAATTCTTCAGTGGATTTGTGACATTTAATCTAAACTGTTATTGCGTCTGCCACAAAAAGTGTATGTATTGCTGTTTATATCAATATAATTAATCATTAAAGCAGATCAATCCAGACACTTTGGGATTAATGCTGTGTTATGCATTGCTTTAGTAGACAGTGGAGAGCACCACTGAGGAGCAAGGTAGATATTTATAGCTTGTACTGCTGTAGATTTGGAGGAATAATGTAGCATGGCTCCTTCTCTGTCATAGCAGACCCAGAGTAGTGGAGTACAGCTGTCAGTGTGGTGCCCTGAAGAAGAACCGCGAGGGACATGTGGCAGCACCAGTGAACCATGATTGTCAGTCACTCCAAAGTTTGTCTTTTGGGCTGAATTGTCAGCTGTCAGAGTGACACTGAGACTGCGGGCTGATACCAGAGCAGACAGGCACCTTTGGCCTGATGTGGTTGACCTTTGATATCCTTACGATATCAAAACAAGTCTTTTTTTCTGTGCTGCTATTGCCTTGAGGTAATTTATGAAGAACTGCACATGGGTAGAAAGTTATAAGCCTTCTGAACCTTTTATTGAGCTTGTGACGTAGCAGAGCACAAAGCATATAATAGTGCGTTCCACATGGATTTTGTCTGGGTTTTTATAAACAGTGCCATTGTAAAATGAACAAGGTAAATTCTACTGTATATCCTAAGAAAATCTCTTGTTCACTCAAGTAGAACTGTTTGACCAATCAAAAAGCTAAAACCCTGTAACTAACATGCCATTGCATGTCAAAATCTGGATGTTTGGCTTTTGTTTATGGACAAGTAGTGTGATTTTCTCACTCTTGAGAGGGCATTGATGTTTGGGCAGAGAGCACCAATTAAACCTCTAAAAAAAACAGGGCCAGTGGGCTCTGGTGTTCACAGTTCTTTGCTCTTTCAAGTCTTATCACAGACATTTCTTGGGAACCTAGGACCTCTAATGAGCAACACTGCCATTACCTCTGCATTTCCTGTTTTGCTAATGGAATGAAAGCCAGTTTTCACTTTATTTTCCAGCATTTTTCTCTTTTCATATCGACACATGTTGTGTGTCGAACCTGTTTATATTCAGTAAAATGTTCGCAAAGCCTCTCTGCTGATGACAAGCACCGGGTATTACAAGGCTGTAGATTCGGAGGGCGGCTTCAGAGGCATGTTCAAGTGGGAGGCAGTTGTTTTTTTCTCGCGTCTTTCCAATGTGATGTTCCGTTCACCAGTTCACAGTCTGTGGAGACATGGCAGTGGCTGATATTCTTGATAATATCAATACATTAACTCATAATATTGCTACGACTCTTGTATTGATTAGAATTCACAGACACATGTTGCTAATCTGCCACCACAGCTCATTTCAAAGCCTGAATATCGCTTTCCGAATGCTGCAGTCACTTCGTTGTAACTTTGTCATTCCAAAGAGCAGGACGTAACTATAGAGATCCGTTTTCCACTCTGCTGAAAAAATCAGGTGAAAACCTAGCTTGAAATGAGTGATGTTAATGAAATAGTGAAGTTTTATTAACATGCTGTGTTGTCTGTTGTTAAGAATTCGGACCATGTTCTTGAAGGTCTACTGTACTCTGGCATCAGTGCGATCTCCTGATGAGTGTGTATGCAGATTCATGCTGTTGAAAGGGAGCAAGATACTTTCCCATGTTATTTATGCCTTACAGGTTTTGGAAATACGGCATCGTGAATGAAGTGTATTAGTCCCCACCTCTGGTGTGCTGGTGGGTGAAGCCAGCTGGGCAGGGTAGCTCTGCCAGGGAAGAAGACACTTGAATTTACCAGTAAGGATAGCATGTTTCCTCAGTCCAGTGGAGCCTATGAACCTTGCAAGATGAGCCCTCTGATGCAAGGGCTTTTTCGAGATAATTAATAATGAAGAGCTTTGTGCCAGGCTGCACACTCCATTACACTGGAGAGCCCAGGAGTGGGTGGCCTCGTCGGGCTTGCTGATTAATAACCATCGCAAAGTCCTGGAGAGCATGGCCTCGTCTCTGTGACGGCCGATTCTTTCCCAATTTCAGGGACCTTCAAGCTCGGTCAGGCTCCATTTCGGATTTGGCATGAGGAAAAGGAAGAGGGCTAAGTTATAAATGAACTGCGTATGTGTCCAGATTTTAAGTCCCAGCAGTCACCAGCAGACTCTTCATACTGGGAAGATCCACAGCCTGAGGAGTTGCCACTGAATATATATCATTGACGCCACACCTAAGCGAGAGAACCTAAATGAATTTGGCTTTGTTTCTGATTGATGTAATATCAATTAATGGAACCAGGAAGATGACTTGTTCCATTCATTAAACAATGTAAATGCCATTAGATTCTGGCAAACCTGACTTTACTCTCGATAAGATTTGTGTCATTTTTTTTATTGCCGACAGCTACAAATGCAGATTGCACTCCCATGGAAATATTATTTTCTTTTCTTCTTTGGCTGGTGTTTGATTGATATATCGCCAAAAACCATTCAACTGATTCTTGACTTCTGCATATGATATAGTCGTGTTCATGTACTCGCTTGCTAATTGGTTGGTCATGTAAAGTTAGTTGGCCAAACAACTGTTTCATGAAAATTGCACTATTCTGAATGGCTGGAAACTGATAAGCATCCTGCTGCTGTGGAGCTCAAGATGAGCTGTAAACAAATGGAGGCCATTTAGCCTCTTTGGTTGCTAGTAGCTTCTTGATCCTGTTCAGCTGTTTCTTGAAAGAAGCAAAGGTATTGGCTTCAAAAATGGGTATAAGTGATCTTGTTCCAGACTCGCACTGTCCTTTGCGTAGAGAAATATATCCTGCTCAAGGGTTTCAGTGCATCTGCGAGCCATGAAGGAACATGGACAGTGATTATACTGAGCTCATCTATAGCCTTCTGGGTTACACTGTGGCTGTCAGGGGGAGTTTAGTTCTCTCCATGGTTCAGTTCATCTGTGCCAAATCAGATTAATTTGCTCTGTGGTTCAAACAGGACAAGTAGCTCTTAAAATGCCCTGTGCATATGCATGGCCACTAAAACCAATTTAGGAAGTGGGATCTTGTCCAGATGCAGTGGCAGCTCACTGTCCGTCCGGAGTGAAAGGATCCCTTCATTGCAGCCCATGTGACGCTCTGCAGCCAAGTTAGAAAGAATAAGGTCCTGGCGAGAGACCAGGATTAGTCACTGCTTTCTCACAGCCACTTCCAAGCCCAGCTTTCAGGAAATCACCCCGCTGCTTTATTTTGGTGTGAGCACTCAAACAGCCACTCAGGGCTCCTGTACAGTCTGTCCCGAGTGGCTTTGAGATGAGGAAGAACGGAGCTCATTTGCGATGGGAGGGAAGGTTTGCCAGGGTTACGCTGCAGGGATCGTGTATAGGGCTTGCTCTTTGTTTTAACTCCGTCTTCACCGGACTGCAAGGTAGAGCCTTTGAACACAGACCAGCTAGTTAAGTGGCTGTCGAGGAGGTGTTACAGAAGATTATCCTTTGACTGCTGCCATTAGAAAACTGTGTGTCTGGAGGCTTTTAGTCTTGAAGACGTGCAGATGCTACACAGAGAGAGTTAGAATGTGCTTCTTGTTGTCCCCTGTTGTATTTTCGTCTCTCTGCTCCAAAACGGACCTGGGCTCCAGGAGTCTCAGCTGTTAAAAGCCATTTGTCACTTTCTCCTCCCTAGTCTTGTTTATGGCTGGCACCACAGAGGGTTAAGTCATATACTGCAAGATCTCCACTAAGCCCTTCTCTGCACCCCTGCTGCTGCTTTGCCAGCCCCACAAATAATTCATACTGTACCTGAGAAGGAGGCAGGAAGTGAAGCAGGGGGGGGAGGCACCAGCTTCTCCCAGCAGTCTCTCATTAAACATTGAAGAGGGTTCAGTCTGCCGCCCTTTCTGCACTGGGATGGAGGAAGCAGAGCTGCATGCTGATTAGATTTCTGCCGGAGCACCTGGCACCTCAGAGATGGAGTCCCCCTATCTCCTGGAGAGCTGACTGGGAGCACCGCAAACGGCGAATCTCACCCCAGGACCAGAGGGTGACACACAGGTTCTGAATCTAAATATAAGGCTCTCTCACAGCCTACCAGCTGGCTGAGCTTGGACAGTTACTGGGGCAGGGGGGGGTTCTGGCTCTAATCGTTTGAAGAGATATGGGGTTTCTCAGAATTGACAGGTCTGATAGCTTGCTTTTCTAAATACAATAGATTGTCATTTCCAGGGTCATACTCTGTATCGGTATGCAGTCAGAAGCAAAGGAGGACAACATGACTGCATAGACAGGGAAGATTTCTAATTAAAGATGAGTGATTGAATTAATTGAAATTAATTGAAGAGAGTCACATTGTCATGTCATGCAGTATTATACATTTTGGGATACCTGGGATTTCCTGTCTGTGGTTTTTAAAGAAGGATTGGATCAGTGGAATGCACTTTCTTCCACAGAGCAATTAGCTGGACGTTTATTCCGGTTAGGCAGGCGGGGTCGAACTTGGGGAGTCGCCCAGTGTTATTATGTTTCCTGCCAGCAAGCTGTAACAGCGATGACATCTTCATCAGTCCTTTTTTCATCAGAGGAAGAGCTTAGAGTGTTACTGGGGGTTACCGAGACCTGTTTGCGAGGGGGAACAGTGCACCCTGGGAGATCGTGCTGCATCAGTTAGACACAGGCAAGTTGTGGAGACTGTCTCCCCCGTCAAGCATATTTTTATGCAGTTTGGTCTCCTTCGACACGAAGATGAATGAGATTTCCTCTGGCCCCAGCACAATTGCGTTCTGACTGACGGAGATATATGCAGGAATGGTTGGTGTTTGAATGGTTCAGCCTTGCGCTATTAATGCGCTATTAATGCCTCATGTTCATGGAGGCCAGGCCTGAAAAACAAGGTGGTTTAGGGTGTTGCTGTTACCTGATGTTTTTCTTTACGTACCCTGAGATCATTCTTCAGGATTTTCTTTTGGTATCACCTGGGTTTTTTGAAAGACATCTATGGACTTCTATAAAAACGGAAGAGGAAGAGGAAAAAAATTGTTGGCGTCACAAACGTGTCTGGAGAGCTGTTCTGCACGGCCGATCTAATTATAACTGTGGTGGCCTGAGTAGACTACATCATCTCATGGTGCTCAGGTAGTCCTGATCACAGCTTGGAGCAGTGTAAGGGGCGGGCCAGTCCTTGAGAGACACGTCCTCCAGCAACAGAAGTCATCAGTGTCATTAATCATACATGGCTGTAATTAGGCCTGGGCGCATATGTACATCTCAAACAGAACACAGAGCCTGACTGGCACACCGTGTAATAGAGGAGCCCAGTGTCTAGCCAGCTGACCAGTGGGGGTACGGCACTGCCTTCTGGTTGCTGGAGGCTGGAGCTAGACTTGACCTTAATGGGCACACAAGAGACTTCAGGCAGCTAATCAAGCAGAGTTATGGTAATATGTACATTTGCACATTATTTTCTCTTAGTAGATGTTTTATTTGTAATTGACAGGTATCGCTTGCAGTAGAATGCAGCCTGTTAAATGCCTCTTTTTCCAAGAGAAGGACACCTGTATCTTCAATATGCATTTTTTCCAAAAAGGGCAGGCATTCTTCTAGCTTCTCTGCACAGTTTGTGTAGGTGTTACTGTCCTCTTATGATCATTGTTGCCATTTTAGCCGAGTCTAGTATATCAGTTGAGTAGACAACACTGAAGTCTCAGAAAGCAAAAAGGCCTTGTCTGCAAGGATGTTATCTGAATCAGATTGACTGAAGAACCTTTCCTGTTATCGCAGATGAGAGCTGAGAATTGCTAAAATGAACAAAGGGGGTAAAAGGGAGTGATTCATGTCTTCCAGCAAAAAAATGAAAAGGCTCCCTTCTGTTTAAAGTGATATGACAGTATCACAGGTTAACCATGTAGGTAGAAACACAAGCTAATGGAGAAATAGACAAAAAGTGGTTTGTAACTGTGTTCAGTGTGCCTGTGTCCCTGGTGATCTCAGTAGAACCATTGTCAAATGCAGCATCTCAACACACACTCCTGTTCCCTCCGCTTCTGAAATTGAATTGAAAAATTGAAATTGAAAAGCATTCTTTTTACAGCTCTTTTCAACTGAGCTGCATTTTGTACAAAGAAAAGGACATGAAGACAACTAAGGTTTGTGCTGCAGTTTAGTATGTGCTTTGGATACTTGCTAGACACCTCCAGGCATTTCCTGACTGTTTTATTGCTTATAAGGACACTGCATGTCAGAAATGTCATAACCAGGGAGCTGTGTTCCTTCATAGCTTGCAGGCTTGATACATACCTTTTTTCTTTCAGGGATACTTGTCTGAGGGCCTGGTGACTAAGTGGTACAGATCTCCACGGCTTCTCCTCTCACCCAACAACTACACAAAAGCCATTGACATGTGGGCCGCTGGCTGCATCCTGGCAGAGATGCTGACAGGTCGGATGCTATTTGCAGGTAAACTTACCTTTCCTGGACTCGGTGCCACTTCACAGAGGTCAGGAACCTAATGCGGTTCTGGGAAAATGGACTGTTTATTCAGTCCATGGATAACAGCAAATTTACCCTTGAAGAGGTCTGTATTTCTCTGAGTTGTGATCTGAAATGATCAAAACTATGCTTACTAAAATTTATTGGTGCTGTTTGCATTCTGACAAAACTCAAAATCCCCGAGACGTGCAAGGTTTTTAGCCGTAGTCCTTTTAGACATTTTTATTTATTGCAAAACATAAATGACCAAAAATACCTAATTTTTCAAATTTATATCCATAATTTTCACTGATCATTTTTTCCTGTGTCAGATTTGGGTTTAGAGAGCTGTATGCATCCATGTACAGTAGGTGTGACCTACATAATAATGAAAGACTATTGATACTGCTTATAATATCTAAGAGAAAGATGCCAAGTGCTTTAAAGTGTGTTACTTCAATTTACACATTTAGCCCAGAAAACATTTTTTGTTCCCAATATGAATTTTCAAATCTTAATTCCAATACAGTGAGCCTATTAAGAGACATATTGATTGTATTGCTATTTAATCGAATACTTCAGTGCTCAGTTAAACCCTAAAGTATAAATCGTGTGTATGGTGTGAAGTAGGATCAATATATGTGGCACCAGTCTCTCTTCTCTGTGTTTCTCAGCTGGAGTGATCAATACAAACTTGAGTGGTTGGCATTCAGCAGCAGTGCTGAATTATCCCCACTCAGCAGAGTCCGATCACCCCCGGTCAGCTCAGCATGAATTATTAATTAATCATCTGCAGGCGTAGCCAATATTTCCATCTAATTTTGCTTTTAGCTGCCTCCCATGCAGCTCAGGCAGAACTAATGAACAAATTAACTGCGGAGAACTGCACTGAAAATTGAAACCTCACCAACACCGGTAACAGGAGAGTAAACAGAACTATTTACCCTGAAAGAGATATTTCCTCGGACTGCCATGGTGAAGCTTGGCAGAGAGACAGGCAAGAGTGACACAGCAGATAGCAAGGTACAGGAAACCATGTAATGTATAAACCTTTCCCAAAGGCTTGTGGGAGTGTGGAACAAGCAACCCAGCCATGTTGCTGAAGCCAATACACTGATTCCTTTCACAAATTTTCTTAAGCAAGGTAAAGCTATCCAGAAACGCAAAATAATACTGTACGAATGTATTGTGATTAACGTTGATATGGATGAAATGTCCTTAGAGACAAACTAGTGAATGTCCCCAGTAGTGTGGTATCTCACATTGCAGGTCTCGATTGCGGGTTCTTTGATTTCTGGAAAGTGAGATGCATAGCCCATTTTGGAAGCCCAATTTGGCAGGGTTTAAATTTAGGACTGCCCTGGCAAAAACATGGACATGTGGTCACTCCAATAATATATGCCTTGACGTATTGAAAGGCAATACACCTATAACTAATTTTCTTCAGTAAAACCAGTGTATTCAAATGCTAACATTTGTCAGTGACTAATTCCTCTTGTTGGGCAAAGAAGAAGCAAAGCAACACTGAGACACCCGCACTGTTGCATGTTAATGCTTAATTAAACAAGAGGAGAGTATTGCTCTATCCCAGAACTGCTTAAAAGAAATGTTCATTGCCTACAAAGAAAATGAATAACCTACTGTTCATCTCAAACAGAATAAATTAATGACTGAGACTGGGTTTTACAGGAGAAACCGCAGCTGTTTTTATTGGGGTTTCTGGCAATTTTCAAGCAAACCTCAGAGGAGGCTGCAATCCCATGACACCTTCCTGGCATTACTGAAGATGGACACATGGATTATTTATCATCATGTATTAATTTGGTCTGTCATATTTGGGGATTGTAGGTCTGCTGTTTCTTATAGAAAGCAAAAACTTACAGCATGTGTATTACACCAGCCACAACAATCCTGTAGTACAATCTCCTTTAGAACAGTGTTCATTCTGGTCACCATGTTAAATAAAATAGAGAATATTACTGCCCTGGAACGAGCTCAAAGAGTGAATGGAATAACTACCAGTCTCAAAGGAATGCTGTTGAGAGTCAAGTGAAAGAATCTGGATCCAAGGAACATTAGGTCAGGGGTGTCTAGTCCAAATCCTGGACATTTGGTGTTGTTTCAGGTTTTTATTCCAACCCAGGTCTTAATGACAAAAATTAAATCATAATTGGGTGAACTGGACCAATCTAACACCTTTTCTAGATCTAAATGGGCTTAGAAACCTAGAGATCTAAAGTACACCAAAACCCCCAGGACCATTTTCTAACACCCCTGCTCTAGCCTTTCCTTCTGAAGCATCCTGTCATTGCCACAGTTGCCACAACCCCATTGGCTCATATCACAAGGGAGCTGTCATTGGGTTAAACCACAGTACTGCATAACCTTCTCATTGTCATCTGATGAGCTGTGTTGTATTGTATTGTATTGTAAGTGTTCAGTTGGGATTCCAGTTAAGGTACTATTCCAATGAAAGACGTAGCAGAAAACCTTGAACTTTAGAAAGGACGTATGATTCTCTTTACAATGCAGCGGATTTGATCATTTGGACTTTCCTGATTGATCAGGTGCACAGCCTCTGTGCTTTCTGCAGCCGTGTTCTGAATCACCTTGTTTGCAGAAGGGAGGACAAGCAGGCTGTTTTGTACTAACATTCGCGCTCACAGGGGGTAGAGCTAGTGTGCGCACACCGGGGAAATCAGACCAACAGAATAATCAGTGTTTTTTTTTTCCCTGTGCGTGTCTGTGCATGACTGTAGAGAAACTGATGAAACTGGGAACTGACTAGCCGCTTTATGGCTTTTCTTTTACACCATTGCAGGTTGTATAGTTTTTTGGGCAGGTTTCTATGAAACAAACCATTGACGTTAGTCATAAGACATCGCAGAAAGCTAGGTGAAAATTCAAGCAGGAGTCTCTGCATTTTTATCCAGACAAAAAGTTGACAAACCACGGAAAGCGTGAATATGGTGCAGTGTTTGACCATCACGATCAGGGGTGAGGGGTAACATGCTCTTCTCACATGCATGGCCCAGGCCATGTGACTGCAAGCCACTCTTTAGTGCTGCGATGGGATCCTCTCGGTTGTCTGTTGCTCACAGGTGCCCATGAGCTGGAGCAGATGCAGCTGATCCTGGACACCATCCCAGTGCTCCACGAGGAAGACAAGCAGGAGCTGCTCAAGGTCATGCCCTCCTACGTCAGCTCCGACTGGAAGGTGAAGAGGTCCCTCAGGGACTTGCTGCCGGAGGTCAACGCTGAAGGTAAACTGCACAGCTTTGAACAGGAATGGAAAAAAGGGTGAATACTTACAGGTTAAACACACTCTGTGGGGCTCCTCATTTTAGGACCAGAGTTCACTGCGATCCCCAGGAGCCCATTTTCTTTTGGATTAGTCCCCCACTCTTGCTCAGGTGAAAGTGCTTAGGTGACTTTTAGGTTTAGCATTTCAGACTCGAGCAAGAAACGGAAAAACTCTTCAAGGTTCTCTGAAAGTTCTGAGCTTAACATGTGTCAGTACTGTACACTTAAGGTTTGAGTGGGGGAGATGTGTGAGCATCGTGGCTGCAAAACAGCAAAGGTAGGAAATAAGAAAAAAAATCATTTTGGCTGTGGAATGTCTTCAGACGTAAGAGAGAGGAAAAAGGTGGCAGGGATGTGAAGCAAAGGAGAACAGGTGAGAACTGGCACTGAGCAGGGTAGAAAAATTGTGCTAACCAATGGAAATCTGTGGGAATAAATTTCAAAAGTGTGACACATTACCTTACTGCATATACATGTTTGGTGTTAGGTGTCTTTTCAGATTTTTCCCTAACGAATAACTTGAAGGACATTTTTTTCTGTTCTCTTTCATCACAAGCTATTGATTTCCTGGAGTGCATCCTGACCTTTAACCCCATGGACCGGCTCACAGCGGAGGACGCGCTGATGCACAGCTACATGCGGCAGTACTCCTGCCCAGAGGACGAGCCCACCTCCCAGCACCCCTTTCGGATTGAGGACGAGATCGACGACATCCTGCTGATGGAGGCCAGCCAGAGCCAAACCTCCAACTGGGAGAGGTACAGCACCCTGGGGTGCCTTGGCGGGAGGTGTGAAGTAGGGTGGGAGGAGACTTCATGGCTGTCTGCTCCAACACTTAAAGGAAAGCAGCACAATTCAGAGCTAGATTTACAGTCGCTGTTCCTCTCACTTGTCATCTTCCCCTGACAGCAGCAGTCTGATGTCAGCTAGGTTGAGTGTTGATTAAATCCCTTTCTTCTTACAAATGCCCTGATGTGTTTGGCGTGTTTAAAAGTGAGGAAGGGAATTGTTCCAAAATGCAGCAGTAGTGGAGAAGAGAAAGGGCTCAATGCAATTGTTTTATTCCTCCATACACAGTGAGAGCCAGATTCAAAAATCAGCAGTTGTCCTGCCTCGAGAGCTCAGAAGGGAGAGCGATGTTAGACTGCTTGCCAAGTGACATGGACAGTGGTCACAATCTAGTCACATCTGTAGACACTTTTCATCTCTGACAAGCTGTGGTTTCCTATACCTATTGTGGCTATTATACTGTGTTTCCACAACAGTGCAAAAGTTTTGACACTGGTTTACGAATCTGGGGAGTCCTGACATGACCCTGGAGCTGCGCATATTTGTATCATGGGCTTTTGGTAGATACTGTATTACCTGTATACTCTTTTTTGGGGGAAATCAGTGTCACAGCTGCAACAAAGTGATACATAAATCCCGTGGGTGTGTTTTAAACACAGACATATCAAAACAACAGTGACATTCACTGCTCTGGCAACATCTGAGCACCTGCCAGGTAGGGAAGGTGTGTTAAAAGAGCCCCAGTTTTTTATTCGCTTGTGTAGACTGCACTACATCGTGTCTGGCCTTCCTCATGGTAGAGTCAGTATAACAAGGGCCACACGGTGGCAGAAGGAAAGAATCGGTTCTTTGATCCATTTGATCTCTTTTTTTTTCTGCCACACTCCAACAAAGAAAAGAAAATTGCTCAGAGGTAGAAATTGTTCAGCACATCTTGTTCCTTACTTTCAGTGTGAAATTGAGTTTGCCATTTGAATATGGCGGATGGAACGTTTGATTTATTTCTCTCTTTAGGTCTCTGTCTCTTTTCTTGAAATGTAGGATTCTTATTAAATGTTTTGCGACTTCCAAGTCATGGCACCGCCTGTAAACTGTAACTGTGTAATTGTAGGAACAAAGTGTGAAAGGGCAAGCAGGGAGTTTGATGCCAAATTGAAAAAGAAATACCAATCGAATCACAAAGGACCAAACAGGTTTCTTGAAAATCAATGCAATAACATTTTCCAACCTTTATCAACAATGTCGTTAACTGCCTTTTTTTATCCAGTCAGTGATGAGCTCTGTAATGTTCCTTAAAGATGTCATGTGAGACCTAGAGTAGCAGTGTGCCAAGGAACTGCTCTTTGTGTGGCAGGGCTGTTGTGGAAGCCCACAGGTTAGAGGGGTGCTCAGCCCTGAGAGCACAGTTTCATTTCTTGAGCCAGCCTGCAGCACTTCCTGGTTGCAGTCCTTGGTTCCTTTTTTAACGAGGGTCACTTGTCTCTGCTGACCATGTCGAGAGTTACTTATATAAATCCAAGTGCCAAAGGAATTAATTGAAATATAAAACAGTGCTTATAGTCATGGATAATGATTTTAAAAGGAGGATGGAGGGCCAGTTCACATGTCTGTCTGTGTGTTTCAGAATATTGTATGCTGAAGGTATTTGCTCTTTGGCGGAATTCCAGACTATTCTGACTTCAAGGCCTGAGGCCTGTGGAGTTCTGTAAGTCTGAGGTCCGGCAAGAGAATTTGCAACTGCCCTGTTGCGTGAGCTGTATTCATGTATGTATGCAGTAGCCTGGAGATGGAACAAGTACAGGAGAAGAAACAGACTGCCTCAGGCCTTTATGACACATGTTGTTAAAACTGGTAATAACACTTTGTAATTAAGACTGAGCACAGAAAACTCTAACAGCCACCGAGAGACATGTTATAAATCTTCAGCATATGGAATTCCTGAGTTTCTGCATGTAATTACACCAGACTCACAGACATTTTATAATTAGCAACTTTCCTACCCCACTGTAGTTGGACATTTCTTAAAGAACCTAGTTTTGCACTGATTAATCCTGTGTGAGTAACAGAGAGGCCATCTTCAGCTTTTGGATTTATAATTCCTTCATGCCAGTAAAGTTAAGCTGAAGGAAAATAACCTACAGGGCCTCCCGTCTGCTGTCTTTCAGACAAATGTATTGGTATAAAAAAGGATTGTGATTAAATCTTTTTTTACATCTTTGGAAGTGTTTGGGAGATTTCAGACAACAGAAGGCAACATCTATCATGGCTTGGTAAGAGTTGCAGTGAATGGATGGTGCTTGATTAGCAGGGAATCCCACAATGTTCAGATCATCAACACTCCATACAAGGAGGAATTCTGGACAAAAGACTGCAGTAACAGCTTGAATAAGATCTCTTTTTTGCCTGGTAGGCGAGCTTCACAAGCTTTCCAGCAGAATCGTGGCTCTGTCACATGTTCTTACTTTATGCTGCTCGCAGGTTGCATTGCAGGAAAGAAATAAATCAGATGAAAAGAGAATGAGCTGAGGGTGTCACTGAGATGATAATACCGCTGATTCCTCGAGGAAGCTACCAGGGCTGTCAGTCTTGATGAAGTGTACCCGACAGGAGCAGTTTTAAAAAAACATGAAAATGTGATTAAGATCCGGCTCTTTGACCCACCCACACAGCTTAATACCATGTTATCCTGGAGACTGGAAAGCTTCCTGTCCTTTGGTGTTTAGCAACGCATCGTGGAAATGACACTGCAGCAGAGAGGGAAGCAGGAGCACTTCCATTTGGCACTGAGGAGTTTAAGACAGTGTAAGAAAGTGACGAGTCTTAGCTTGCATGATCAGGACTGTGTATAAAGAGCAAGACCATAGCATACCTTTCCAGAATGTGACCAGTGAGGGGAGGATATGGTATCAAATTAAAGTGTCTCAGAGTTCCAGTACCAGTGATTAATCTGAATATGGAATTCCAGGTTCCAGTTTTCGTGTGGGGTGGATAAAAAACTTACCCAAAGAGACACAGCCCCCTGCTGACACTGATACACAACACAGCACCTTCACTGACACTGGCACACACTGTTAGTGTGCTGAACCTGCTTGAAGCCATTTTGTCCCTCAGCTCCCCTCTGCCCTAGAAACAAACTGTTAGTCCTTTAGTTTTTTCTGTGTTTTTCTCTTTCATGTAGGCTTCTATGCTGCTATTTTGACAGTAGACAGTCCAAAGTTTGTCGGGAGCCTGGAAGCCAAATTCCTCTTTGCTGTGCTTTTTGATGTCTGATCAGCCCATCTTCCCAGAATTCCCTGGTGTTTGGTTTAAAGTGAGCCGAGTTTTGCACTGGCTGTTAATTGAAATTACTTCCAAATAGCAAAATGGTAGTCAAGGCTCTTCCTGTGCGTTCACAAAGGCATCTTCTCTGTCACTCTCACTGACTGGGCTCACCCCATAGAATCACAGGACACTTCCTCCAGCTACATACTGTAACAATCAATGTGCTGTTGAAACATGTAGTGGTGTCTGGTGTTTGATACTATTAACTGTTCTCAGTTGATAGGGTGAGAGGATAATGGAGACTTCATGCCCACAGACTCCTTGGTCTAGAAATGTTTCAAATTGTTTCTGGTGTAGCTGAACCAGCTGAAGTGGCCAAATGGTTTTGGCTTGAGACTTTAAGAACAAGATTCCATGACCAGAAAGAGTAACAAAGGAGAGTTGGACACTTACTGTTTTTTAACGAATGTATTTAATTATTTATTTATGTATAAAATGCAAAACAAAATGTCAGAATGTTGAGTGTGAACAGCTATGTAGAATTTCAAGATTTTTGTGTCTGACGTATGGTATGAATTGAGCTGAAAGGTGTTTTATACAGAAGTATTTAAAGTATTAATTTGTCCAGAAGAATCACAATTGTCCTTCCTCCCTTATGTTCTCAGCCTTAGAACTGCAGATTCTTTCCTGATTGCAATACATTACCTCAGTAATAACTGAGGTACAAAAGAAACACTGCACTCAAGTCTAATGGATGTAATCAAATATTTTAAATGTAGACATCAAGCAAAGTCACAGAACAAAATACAGATCAAAGAACCATTATGAGATTTTCCATATGAAATATGACACTGTCCAAGTGAATGCTTTACAAAGTTAGCAGTATATATGACCTTCCTGCATATTTACACAATTCAGGCAGTGTTGATGCACAGACTTGATCAGCATCTGGACAGGCTGCTGTGGGATATTCTGCCACTCTTCCTGTGCAGCTGCAGCCAGCTGGTAAAGACTGGCCAATCACAGTTGTCTCCTGTTGATGGAGTTGTGAGCTAGTCCCACAGGTGTTTTGTTATACGTAATTTAGGAGAAATAATTGCAGCAATAACTTAATGCTGTTATCTCAATGTTGTAAAGCTGTATTCCTAACTTGTTGAAATTATTTTGATGGTAAATCAAGAATCTCTTCCCTAGCTTGTAGAAAGAGAAAAACTCTTGGCTCAGGGATCTGGTCAATGCATGCCTGAGCTGTAAAGCTGTATTCAATGTTTGATACACTTGTATCAAAAGAGATTCCTCCCCACATTACCCAATGCGTTCATGTTCTATTAAGTAACTGTTCTTAGACTGTGGTTAAATTTTAAAGTAGTGTAGCTTTTTTGCGTTTCCGACATGTTTACTGTTCCCAAACTTCCATTTATTAATAAGACCAAATTTATATTCTAAGAGGCATAATGTAAATTACTATAATGGGTAACAGGTGTAGTGCTTGTCTCCTAGAAATTCTGCATAGTTCTCTGATTTGAGTCTGTCCCAGCAAATGAGCTACTGCCGCATCACTGAGTTATTAATGGCAACTATACAGCTTAGTGGTAGAAAAGGACAGTGCTAAATGTTTTCCATTAGGCAAAGGATTTATTCATAAAATTAGATTAAAGCAAGCTGAAAATACAGCCTAGCATTTCCCCCAAAAGAAAAGGGATAATAAATGAAAAATTCACAGCTGAATTCAGGTGACCCACTGGTTTTAACTTGATCTGTTCCTCCTGCAGGTACCAGGCCAGTCTGTCCTGTGACCTATCAGGTGTCCTACCTGTTTTAACTAAACCTGCTTCTTCTGCAGGTTCCAGGCATGCCTGTCCTGTGACCTATCAGGTGACCTAC